GAAGTATCAATCTTTTGAGGAAACCCCTGCTTTAAAAATGCGGAATGTACACTCCTGGCCCAGTACCACAGTGGAAATGAATGCTAGCTCATTGATTGTTTAAGCAGGGAGTATTTTTTTCACAACACAGAAATTTATATACCAAAAATGGTGCTTCACACCCATTAAAATAGAAGTAAACATCTACACTCTGTATTGGTGGTGGATTCGTGGTGCATTGGGTAGCGCACCGTGCTATGAACCTGGCAACCAAAGTTCAATTCCTGGGCACAATTTGTCAGCTGTCAATTACATTTCTCACTTCAACTATTGATATTAACCGAATATAATTATCTTCTGGGTTATTTCGGTAAAGTAGAATGGGAATAAAATTATAAAAATATTTTTTTTATTATTTTATTCCCATTCTACGTGACTTTACCAAAAAAACCCAGAAGATGAATCCCTGCAGTCACGAAAGCTTTCAATCGAATATAATTAATTTCATAATGAATGAAAAAACTCTGCATGTGACATACGATGACAGAGGGGGAAAAAATCCCACCACATACATTTTGTGATATCTTATAGATAATCGAATGGTTTATTATTGTGATGGATCACATCTTATGTGCTCCTGCACGTGTGTCATGGTAGGGAGATCGACTGAATTGGAGATTGGAGATCAAAATTTTCAATGTGGCCGAGAAGACTATAATATTTGATTAAAGTTAACATAAGAAAAGCTTTCCATTACGAGACATTTATCACAAACTTATTTAAATCAACTAAATTACCAATGTAACGCTGTGACTGTCGATTTAAAACTGGTTGTCAAATTAAGACATCCCCGTTTTATCACGGCTCGTGTACAGCGCCATCTCCAATGATAAGCTGGTCAATCTCTACTCTATGAGTTCTGAAGGACACTGAAACATGAGCCGATCATATAACAAATGTTGTAGTGCTTTGACGTGTGCATGTATATTACGTCCAATCCAGCCACTTTTATCTTGTTTTGTCATCACAGTATTTTTTTAAAACATAATTTGTCGTGCTGGCACTTAGATCAAAGTATCTATACATACTCTTTGGTTCTTTCGGTAAAGTCACGTAGGTAGAAAGTAATAAATAAATATTAATAAATAATATCTATTTTTTTCTTTTATTTATCGATACATGTGTATATTCTTAGCTCTTTCGGTAAAGTCACGTTGAAGGGAAACAATATAATATATAATATATTTTATTATATGGGAATAAAATTATAAAAATAAAAATATTTTATTGTTTCCCTTCAACGTGACTTTACCGAAATAGCTAAGAATATGAATTACTGCAGTCACGAAAGCTTTAAATCAAGATACATGTGTACTTTGGGAAGCTGATGGGACGAAACAGGAAAATAAATGACAGGAAAGGAACACAAATTATTGTCAATGTCATGGGATGGGACAGAATAACAAAAATCATTCCAGTGTGACGAATGGCTGAGTTGTCCGAAGAGGGCAGCAGCTTGTCAGGGTGCCCTCTGGTGGTCGGGTGCAGTTACTGCCAGTAGGTGCCAGCCAGTCACTCAGATTTTTTTTTCAGTTTCTTTATTTTGGTATAGCCCTGTGAGCCATTCGGCTCTTGAATCGGGTGCAACCACAACAAACAAAAAAACAAAAACACGAACAAGAAAAACATCTTAAAGTGACTATGCGACTGTGCAAATAGAAAATCCATGGGAAAAAAACACAGCAAAAATATTCCTGAAAAAAGCGCCGTACACCAACGCTGTGTGCAAAAATATCCCAGTGGGATGCAAGTCAAACAACAATAACCACAAGAAAACTTAGGTTAAGGCCATCAGTCTAGTTTCTGAATGGGAGAGGGCGCGACAGTACCTGAATGGCACTTTAAGCAGAGGACTCTTTTGGTTGACCCCTTCGCAACAAAAATATTATTCAAGTCGTACAGCAAGGAGGAGCATAAGTAAGATGATTATGTGATGTACAGGATGGAGTTATGTGGGGACTCGCCTTAATCGTTCTCAAAAACACAAGCGCCTATGGTTTAGAGGCACCTCTTAACTTAAGATGTACCTCAAGCATGGCTGTCGGACTTTCACAGCTGATAAAGAAATTTACCTTTGCAGGTCTTCCAGTGATGCCATCCTCCCATACGCTGCTCCTCCGGGTTCTTGGCCGTACTTTTTTTGTTAAATCAAATGTTTACAATGGTTTGTCATTCTTTTCGAGTGTACTTTAACATTCTAAAATGCTGCCGTTTTATTTTCTACTCGTGTATTTTTGTATTGGCTCGATTGTCTTCTTGGCTGATGCAACTCCCGTTGTCACGTGGTGAGGGACCTTATCTGTCATCTTGTTCTCACCCGGCCAACCGAGGCATACTGAACCCCGGTGAAGCAGGGGCGGGGGGGGAGTCGCTGGCCTGAATGTCTGCATCGCCATGCTCTTCTGAGCCTCCAATTCATAGAATAGCGTAGTAAGGGGCATTCCATAAATGACGTCACGCGATTTTGGACGATTTTTTTAGGTGCGTGACGTCATTTATGAACGGCCCCTAAGAGGACTGTCCTTGATATGCTCTAAGGTGGATCCCTTTCACCAGGAAGTGAGGGCGAACACAGTGAAACATTTGCTCAAGGCTGCAAATTATGGATGCCACTCTTTTCACGCTGAAGAAAGAGGTCGCCCAGCTTGGGGTGGCAATGCCCACTGGAGTTATTTAAAGGCACTTCTGCTTAAGGGGCCGTCCATAAATGACGTCACGCACCTGGGGGGTGGGGGGGGGGTCAGACATTTGTGACGATGGGGGTGGGGGGGGTTTGAGAAATGTGACGTCACATAAAAATGCGCAACTTTAAATAAATATAGACAACACGTTTACTTATTTTAATACTTTTTTAAATAAATGTTTTCTCCTACAACATCAGAGTGCAGCTCGACATTAAATACGCACTACAATGGCAATAGTCTAAAGCAATTTGAAGCATGTTTTATATATTTGGGGGGGGGGGGGCAGAGCTTTGTGACGTCATATTTGAGGGGGGGTCTGACTTTTTGTGACGCCGTGTGACGAAGGGGGGGGGGGGACAAAAATCGTCCAAAATCGCGTGACGTCATTTATGGACGGTCCCTAACTTGCCCGCGGCTTCTTGTGCCAACTCGTGCTTTTTCAGTCACTCGTCAGGGTGACACATGTGACGTACGTGTGCCTGGCCGCTCTAACATAGCCCTTTACAGCCTTTAAAAAAAAATTGGGTGCAATTGTGACCAAAAGGCATATCAGACTTGAGAACATCTAATCGGCATAATCATCGGTTCACTGCAGCTCAAAGAATCGGTCCCTACAAGGCGTGTGGTGAAATTCGGGGATGTCCACGATGCCCGGCATTTGTAAGCCCGAAGATCAGAATGAGTTGTTTCGTCGATAATGTGTTCAGGGGGGAGGCAGTTCCATATCCGGACAGCAGCGTGTTGGGAGCTTCTGCCCAGGGAGCTTCTGCCCAGGGAGCATGTTCTGGCGACTGGGGTGGTCACAAATAATCGAGTGGCACGGCACCTGGACGCAGTGCCGGATTAAGCTAGTGGCATGTGTTATAAAGGGGCCCTAAATAAATAAATAAAAACCACAAATATTTAAACGCAAACTTTTTTTACTTTTAAAGTAAATTGTATATATTTTTTATTAGCTATACAGCCAGATAATACGACAAATCGCTAACCTTAAACACCTAGTCGGTCATAAAAGCTGAAGGCAGTATAGTGCTATGGTAATAGAGCAAGTGAAGAATCACTACAACCGAAATTGATAGCTTGAAAGCATTTAGCGCGGGGCCCCCGTAGCATATGTAGCTACTTTTGCTACAAGGATAATCCGGCACTGCCTGGCTGGGTGTTGTTCACCCTGTTTGTTCACTGTACCACCCCACCTGGCTGAAGGGGATGTAATCCCGCTAATGCTACAAAACGTGCAGGAAAGAACACTCGACACAGGGTTACGCAGCACATGGCTGTAATCGAGAAGCCATCTCATGGGAAACTGTTCAAGGGGTTCTTATGGAATCTATTCGTAAGGCCATAATGCGGGCAATCACAACATCCCTTCGTGAGATACTGTTAAATATACAATAATGTATGCATAACCGGTATCTGTGTACGTAGTGAAATATGCGTGAGATCGCGCCCTCTACTGCCGAGTGTGTAGGCAATTCGCGTACAGGAAAGCGCTCGACGTCGTACGTTGAACTTCTTTTGCACCGTGCGTAGCCAACCGTGCTAATCGGAGGTGCGGGGAAGGGACGACTATCCAAACACACAAAAAGCGGTTCGGCTCCACCGTTAAGTCTCCGTCCCCTGCAGCTACGCGGGACGCTGAATATGGCGCAGAGCTGATGGTGGGGGCCTCGAAGGCTGCGTCGTGATTCGGTTAAATAACGTTGCAGGCCTTTGTTGGGTGCACCAATGGGAAGCACGGCACACGGCTGGGAAGCACGGCACACGGCTGGGAAGCACGGCACACGGCTGGGAAGCACGGCACACGGCTGGGAAGCACGGCACACGGCTGGGAAGCACGGCACACGGCTGGGAAGCACGGCACACGGCTGGGAAGCACGGCACACGGCTGGGAAGCCAGCGCACGGCTGGGAAGCACAGCGCACGGCTGGGAAGCACAGCGCACGGCTGGGAAGCACAGCACACGGCTGGGAAGCACAGCACACGGCTGGGAAGCACAGCACAATGGGAGAGTAATAGGCAAGCTCCGAGCTTTAATAATATAACCGACCGTGTGGTCGCAGCAAGATCACGGCCTAAGATAACCCGACTTGAGCGTTGTGGCTCTCGGCAAAGACTACGCCTTTCTGACTTGACGCAAGGGGGAACTCCGATAGTGCGCCCAAAATTCGTTTTGGGGAAGAAAAAAAAACACAAATGAGTTTTGGTCGAGCCTACATCATAGAAATGGCTTCGTGTTCCCAGTCCACACAAAAATTTGAAGGTTAATATTCTCTCAAAGATATATACTTTTTAATAAGCACACAGGGTTGATACAGAATTGAAGCTTTCGTGATTGCAGAAATTACTATACTCATTGTTGTTTTGGGTACAGTCACGTATGTAGAAATAAAATAAAATTTAACTAAATCAAATAAAATTAAAATAAATCACGACGTTTCGAACGCAACACAAGCGATCATCATCAGGTGGAAAAATGGGGTCAAATACACAGCGAGGGAACACATAGGGGGACACCACGCACATAGAGAACGGTAAACTGCAAATACAATAACAAGAAGATGAGAGACGAGAACTCAACAAACCTTAGAAACATAATGTGATGCAAAACCAGTGGGCTAACAACACAGACACTAACCTGGTTGACCACGAATTTCAAACCAACGAGCACACAGGGTTGGTTACCTTTTTATCTTCCCATGGGAGAGAGCGATTGCCTGCTTGTGTTGAATGCGGGGTAGTGGATATGATTGAGACTGCTCCAAAGGGAAAAAGGATCACCCTTGATGAAATGGATAAAGTAGCACCTGGTCGGGATCACCATCTTTTAAAAGTGTTACATACTGGAGTGGGTGCGGCTTGCTAATAAAAGTCTTATCTGTACGGCCAAGACACTGAACAGCCCTGCCATCAAAATCATTCGATTATGTTACCTTTTCTTTAAAACTGGAAATCGCTTCGAGGAAAGACGCCTCTATGAATATAAAATACGAATGAACGTGGGTGCTGTTGAGATTATTGAACCCATGATCTCAGCAGTGTCGACCAATTTACTAAAATTCTACACATTCAACAAACAGGTTCACTTTGTAGAAAGATAGTGCGTTTATAAAAGCTTTTTTCACTTGTGTTAAATGGAGCCCCAACACATGCAATTTGTGTGAAGGTTAAATACAACTCTTGCTAAAACCACTTTAACTGAATGCCATGCATTTAAACTTGAAAACATTACATATTTTATCTGCGTACATTACTATACATTATATGGCGTTTCGTATATGTCGAGTATTTTTACATTTATATACTCATTGTTTAAAAAAAAAGCATTTCATGCAGGGACATCCTGGAATGGCTGGAGAGTGAGATGAAGAAGAGTTTGCCATTGTTAGTGTTTATCATTCACTTTGGAATCAGATCGAAATGTGCACCATTCTGTTACTGTGAGTTAAGTCAAGGTTTCAAAAACGAGTTCTCACAATTCAATTGAGAGGTTTTTTTTAACCGACAACAATAAATACACAAACATATTTTTTATTGAAAAGACTGATGACAGTAATAAGGTAGATCAAGGTATGGAAGCGAGTTGAACAATTGTCACATTTTTTCCAAAGGCAGCTCATGTCCAGGGCTGCCAGATTTGTGAGTAAATAAGTGTCCAGACCTCTAGACAGAAGAAACAAAAAGCCCCACACAATTGCCACAGTGGAGCCCAAAAAAAGGGCACGCATTTTTAAAACGTTTATTTTTCTCTACATTTCACAGCTTTAAAAGAAAAAAAAAGACGAATTTGTGCACGAAATTCAATCTGGCAGCCCTTCCCACACCTGCACCATTTTCCGATCAAAACTTTCACTCGCAATGACAATGAAGCTGTAATGAACGGACATCAGCAGAAATTGACAATAAAGACTAGCCACAGTGCAACTGGCCATGCAAACCAACTATGGGCGATACAGTAATCCAGTATAGTATGTGCTCCGATTCAGTGGAGGAATAGCAATGCGACACACACTCTCCTGAATCTCTCATGGCTAGCAGACCTCGACAGTGGCATTTTAGCTCCTGAATATATTGTCACATGAAGAATAGAATATCATCGGTAGTGTAAAGTGGTGAAATAAAGACCAGCCCAAATACTGGTAAAATTCCTGCAAAAAATTTCAATCCAATTGGTAACACTCGTCTCCGACTGGTGGTCGGATACTTTTGTTTGAGCAAACTGTCCCAGAAACAAGACGCACCTGGCAGCTGTGGGAGTGACTGCGCAAGTCACGTGTACATGGTACAGATGAGCCACTGGGGGGAGAAAAAAACCGTGAACATTAGGAGGGCTGGCATCATTGTTAAAATCGTCATCAGGAAAACCACTTTGTGATCTGTCATCAGTCTAGAGTGACCTATGAGGAAGCCTTAGAAATGTGGAATTCCTAACAAAGAGCTGCCAAACAGATACAAATATCACCCACGCTCATTTGAGAATGTAAAATATTTGGCTTTTCAATGCACCAAATGCAAAACTTCTAAATATGCCTAACTTATGTTTGTCTTAACTTTGTGGTGTATAAAAAACGGGACTATATAATATATCCTTCAGTTCCAATGGGATGGCAATTGCCATGCGTTAAGGTGTCATACCTGGGCAATCGTCATGGTGGCCACCCCAGCCTGTGCAGTCTGTAGAAACTGGAAAGCCTCTGCACACAACACAATTCAGTCTGTGACAAGCATTCACATCTGTATACTTTGCTGTCTAACATATAAAAAAATGTGTTACTATATACGGGGTGTAATGGTTGGATATAATAAAAATGTGTCTCGGGCAATGGGGTCCAATGGCATAATACTGTGATAGGGTCACTCACATGAATTATAGCGGATTTTGGCCTAGAGTGAGAATAGAACCGTCGATTCAAACTGGCTCAAGAGGGAGTGGTGCCTAACATCAAGCTGTCCAGCCACCTAAAATGAATAAACTTTTGTACACACATTGAGAGACTGGCTTTTTTTACCGTTGACACAGGACCATCAACAGAGAAAATATGATTTGCGGAAGGAGACGCTGCGATGTTTGACCTGGAATTTACATCCCGTGAAATTCTCTATATTACGTGATTATGGCTATGGCGGCATAGGATAAGGAACTCACTGCAGGTGGCCTCAAATTTCAACAAGCAGCACACAAATTTGTCCCAGGAAAGCTGCATCGATTGGTCGGCGTATCGCAGCACCAGCACTTTGCGAAGTCGATTGTTCAACGGGAACCCTGCACGAGGGACCACGAAGCGAAGGTTACGTAACGTGTCAGGTGAGCAGAAAGAGAGGGTATGCATGACAACCACTGTGCTTTAAATTTGAGACACAGGTTACCTGCAGAATTGAAGGCAGTGTGCAGCTCGTAAGATGACATCATGCCTGATCCATCCTGGTCAAACCTCCTGAAAATATCCTATGTGAAAGAATTGGACATTCAAAGGCATCACCGATGTGTTCTGCTACTCTGATGCTGCATCACATACAAAAAGGCCTTTTACTTGTTTGCGATGTTATTACAGTATTATATTTCAGCACATTAGCTCATGTATGCTGATGTTAATATACTACAAGAGGGCCAGCTGCAGCATCTGTAAGCTACAATTAAAACCCTCTGAAGGTCACACACTATTCATTAAACAATGCTAGTATTTTTGTATCAGGGTCCAATCTTCTCTCATGTACACTGATGTGATTATCAAATAATGTTTTTATCGTCCCTTTTCACCATGCGGTGGTTTGTTTACTAATATCTCTCAGTAGAAACTGATAACATAACCTCCCAAATGTCAGCAGTCTTCAATCTCTAAATGTTGTGAAAATGTCCAATTTAAACTTCTTCCTTGCTATGAATAAGGGCCATTGTCAAACATATTAGCACATTGTTTTTTTGGGTTTAAAAGACAGTGTTTATCAAAACAAAGTTGAGGTATTTTTAATTCATGCCTGTAAATCTGTCTACACCACCCCTATATCATTTAAAAATTGAGAAGTCATTAAGTTATTGATGAGAACAGCATTGGCAAGTCAATGCATGTGACCAGTTGTATTAGTCCTAATCGTGGCCTCGTGTTCAACCTTCCAGGTCTTGATCTTGGCCCACAGAACCTGGAGCTCTTCAAAGCCCAACCGTCCTGATAAATGTGTCTGGTAGGACACAGAGGGTTAAGGTTATATTTGTGGATAGCCAGCAGGCATGAAATACTGTAAATGTCTGGTCACGGCAGATAGCTGATGATTGATTGATTTTTTATTTGATTAAATCCATGAGCATTTCAAATAGTGGCACAGAGTTGAGTGGGTGAAAGCAAGTCTCTGCAGGTTTGTGTGATGTGTATGCATGTGTGGCTGCATGTGTGTGCACGGTGAAGATTAGTGGTGTAGTGGTTAGTGTATTGGACGATCATAACAGATACCTGCTTGAACTGCTTGTCATGCACATCAGCAATAATTGTAATCTGGGCCTCTCGTAAATGCATACCTGGAGCAGGATGCCACTGTCAGCACTGGGGGAGAGATTGTGCTGGGAAAATCTCCCCTCTTGTGCTGTCTGTTTTCATAGAAGTTCGCGAACAAAAGAAGCTTTTACAGTGCATAAATTTGAATCGTGTGTGTACGTGTGTGAGATCCAGTCACAGTCCCTTCCTACAGACGAGGCTATATTGGTTGGGTTATGTGGCTCCGATGCCTAGACCAACAACAACAGAGGGCGGAGGAGCAATGCTCACAAGTGGAGCACCGGCCGACTAAGATGCAGCAAGTTGTCAGTGGGGGGGGGGGCATAGACGGTGCTTTGCCAGCCATTTCAGTCAGTGAACTCATAAGACCTGGGTCCGTCCCATCACCTCCTGCCAGCGAAACTTCAACACTCCACATGACCTCAAGGTGCACCTAGCCAAGCACAAGCGCCATAGTGACATCACCACAGTTTAGTGGTGCATTGCGACTATTGTTGCTGTGTGTGAGAGGCTATGGGGGGGGGGGGGGGGGTCGTGGATACATCCAGCAATGCGACCATGCTGCGACATGTCTCTATGCTGAAGCTCTCTGTCTGCAATGCCTTGCCTGCAAAAACACACACGAAAGAACTCGTCACGCTTACAATGTAAATAAGCCACCACTTTTATATTTCACGTGATGCACGATGAACGTGTCACTTAATGTTTATACCGCGCCTTCCTTGCAGTACGTCTCAAGGTGCCGGGACAAGGGATCCCCGGTGGCGGCTGTCCCAGTGCAGCACCAGGTGAAGGAAGCACCAGCTAGCAAGTGGGACATTATTCTGCCAGTCTGGTGGTTTCCCAATAAGTAATTCGCGAGTGATTTGTCAAATTTGGAAAGTTTGGACCATGATGCCAGCAGCTGTATCCGAGATGACCTACTTTTTGTTCTAAACCAACACAGTATTAACCAGGACAGTCGATGGCCTCGACCCATGAGCCTCTGCAATGCGCAGCACACGTGCAACCGTTGGGGCATGCCACTGGCCCTTAATACGAACAACAACAAAAATTGCAATACTCAGACAAAGTATGTGCTCAACTTAAGCTAGTTCAATGGAGTCATCTCAGGTAATGTCAGTTGCATAAATATGATAAAATTGATCAACACAGTTTATTTGATTATATGTATCTCTTTATACTTCCTATTTAGATTGGTAGTACTGTTGGCGGAGTGTCAGATTCACAATTGCAAAGTTCTGAGCTCAAATCCAGGTCAGATATCAACTCAGTTCATCACCCCAACAGGGTCAAGAATATGAGCAGAGTATCACTGTGCGGGAAATCAATAGCAGTGGCAAAAGTAGCTCAGAGCCACCATAACAACTACGCACCGCCCAAACATGCGTGATCATAGAAGCACTTAACTTACTTGTGTTTAAATGACTATTAAAAATCTTCAGCAGGTCATTTGGGCGCACCTCCATTTCCTGCAAGTGAGAAAAAAATGTACACAGTTTAACCATCAATCCCAATAAACGTCTAATAATGTTGACTGTGAGCAAGTGACTGACACAAATTACAATTATAGAGGGGCTAGAAACTGAAACTTGGTGCAATATAGATGAGCATGGCTATAGATATATATCTTCTTTGGTTCTTTCGGTAAAGTTACGTAGAATGAGAATAAAATAATAAATTGATAAAATAAAATAACACAATAATATTCTCACACAAGCGGCCGCTTGTGTTGTGGCCGAAACGTCGTGAGAATATTATTGTGTTATTTTATTTTATCAATTTATTATTTTATTCTCATTCTACGTGACTTTACCGAAAGAACCAAAGAAGATGAATCATTGCAGTCACGAAAGCTTTAAATCGAAATTTATAGATATATAACAATCCAAAAACAAAACGTTTTAAATCTTTGGCACCCCAAAATTGTGTGTTTGTGGTGGGGGGGGGGGGCAACAGTATTTTTGTTTTCAAATCTAGGCCTACAAAAGTTTGTATCTGAAGGTTTTAACCTAAATTTAAGATAGCATTTCGAAAACAAATTTCTCAGGTATTTTAAAGAAAAGTATTATACTAAATATTCTTGGTTCTTTCGGTAAAGTCACGTGACATTACCGAAAGAACCAAGAATATGAATCCCTGCAGTCACGAAAGCTTTAAATCAAAATTTGTGATGCTAAAGTCGATAGAAAGTGGGCAGAGCTCACGAGGAGTTTATATTCTATATGTTTATCTGGGAATGCAACAATTTTCCAAACTCTTTTTCAGGTTTCCTGCTTTGGGACACTTAGCTAAACAGGACTGACCAGCAATGGGAGTTTTACGAAGCCTAACACACTACAGTTTAAATACTTCATAGAAAGGCAGAAGCAGTTTTTTTTTGTGCCATGCAATTTGCAGGGCAGATATGTAGACCTTTAATTCATAGTGAGCCAAAATAAAATAAAAAAAACGAGGCTTCAGCTAATGAGAAATTCTGGGGATGATAAAAACATTGTAAGCATATGATCACACATGAAAAGCTAAAGGCATGGTGTTCAGTATCTTATCTAGATAGAAGATCCAACCTCTCCTGCCACCTCTGAGAAGACCATGAACAGCTCCGCTTTCTCCTGCTCAGTGAGCTCCAGAGTGGGCAGTCCCATCTGCAGAAATACAATTATAGTGTCTGAGCTCTAAGTATACTCTGTAACGTATCACATTGAACAACCTTGCGTGACCTACACACGTATTGGGCGATGTCCTTTTAACATGTACGGCCAAATGTCACAAACAGAAAATACAATAAGAGCTTACTGGGTGCCTCAAGGGACGAATGTTAGTGTCAGAGTTCACAGCCAATACTGCTCATATTTTGTCACATTTAGCTATCGACAACAGTTGAGGCCACGTTAATTTGTGTGTGTGTGTGCGGTAATTCGTAACTGGATCGAGACTGTATATTCGTACACCAGAAAACCTGATTATTTTAACAGCATGCAATCAATGGCATATAATTTGCATGGATTTTAAAGAATCAATTTCCATCCGTATGAGTTGAAGCATGTATTGTGATCGTAACAATGGATCAGAACTTAAAGCTTTCGTGACTGCAGGAATTCATATTATTGGGTCTTTCCGTAAAGCCACATAGATAGGTTCAAAGAAAATAATAAACATTTTTTTACAAAAAACTACGATTACTTTTGATTATTTTCTTTGAACCTATCTGCGTGACTTTACCGAAAGACCCAAGAATAATGCATCAGAATAGATGCATCATCACATGCATACTGTATGCACAAGAATGTTTCAAAACTGCACCTTTAAGGGAAAGTCTGCTACTGTATTTTCGTCTTCACTGAAAAAGCCCACACACACACACCAGGTGTCATACCATGAAACAACACATTCAAAAGGCTATGAGCTTCTTATGTATACAAGTTTAACATAAACAATCCTTTTGTACATATAAAACTAATTATTTGGTAATGCTGCGATTCAGCCAATGGCTATGAAGAAGGGCTATTACCCGAAACATCGCCGATTATATACTTTTTATTTTGAGGCGGTGTTGTTGACAAGTGTTTTTTTGTAAATATATACTGGCATGTCTACAACAAAAAAACACTGCAAGGTCAACCTGTACCCACGTGAAGAATGGTTATCTGGTGAGAACACAGCCTATGAATGCAAATGGATGAAATAATAATTATCATTGTTTATTTGGTTACCCAGGAAAGATTAACTGGATGTCTGTAGGTTTTCTGGGTATGATTTTTGGCCAGTTCCAAAATAAAGAGAATTGGTTCATCTATAAAAAAAACTCGACGTTGAATATACAAGGGAAGAATATTAAACCGCAAATGATTTAGCAACCTAATTGTTGCACTGCCTCCTCCAAGCACCATCAAAATTAATCCGGCCCTGCCGACGGGACCTTCCGCTGATGTTTATTTTTATTTTACCAGGTAAGACCCACTATATATTGCTCAGTGGAGCAATATATAGCTCTTTTTCAGAAGCAACCTGGCCACAAAGTGGCTTATTATGTCGAGTTCACAGCTGCCAAATACTCAATGTATGTTTCTAAATGTGGAGGGAAAAACCGGAGGACCCTGATAAAAATGTATGCGACCATGGGGAGAACGTGCAAACTCCAAATATACAGCTGTCAGGGTCGGGATTGAACCCACTACCTCTTGTACACCAGGAGAGGTAGTTAACATCTTGCCACTGTGGCACCCTTACCTCATGGAGCTGAGCTTCTCAGCGAGGATGCGCAGCACGAACCCGGCCTCGTGGTGTGGCTCCCGTGTCGATGGCACCACCGTGTAGGTGCCGGGCGGGAGACAGAACCGTACGAACACCTCCCGAGCTTCCACAAAGTCTGCCGTGCCGGCCACCGGGAGCCTTTCCGACCTCCGCTCGGCATCTTTGTCCTCCTGCTCAAACGAGTACTCAACTTCAACCAACTGGGGTATAAGTTGAATAGTCTCTTGATCAGGGCCAATCACACCAAAGCATGAACAGCGTTGACTTCGGACAGGGCGATACTATCGATTTTTTTCTCACGCGGATGGATAATGGGCTGAGTTGTTCCCCGGATTTGGAATTTAACTTTGCAACATTTTAGTTGTCAAATATTCAAATGCCACATTGCCAAACGGCCTAATCCTGTAGGAATATTCACTTAGCTACGTTGACAGATGTGATTTATATTAAAATACCGAGAAACACTATATTTAGGTATATAGATACATATGTAGCAAACTATTAACTTTGAATGAGGATAAATACCTTGTATTTGGGTTATATTTTTGCACATATAGAAAAGACTAAAATATACATTGTAGGTATGAATACATTTGGGGTAAATGGTCTGCGAACATGATTTGGATTGTTATAAACATGAGTGGCGAAACAAGTGGTGAAAAAAAGTGTGTCAGTAAATAGGAAACACGTGGTGCGGATTAAGCAAATGAAAGCTTACTCATGGAATATTTCAGTGGTCTGACACGTACACAAAACTCAAAAGCACCATCACATCGCAGTATGGACGATAGATCCAGTTCAACTGAGTACGTCCAACACCATGGCATTGTATAAGCATTTCTCGCTAAACAAAAATAGACTAATAATAATAGGGTTTTTCCCCTTTTTTCTGGCAACAAAACTGAAACCTTATTACAAGGATTCATGTCTGCATTAACCACAGTACTTGCAGTCAAAATGCAAACAAAAAACATAAATAGACAGATTTATTATATCTACACTACAGTCCAAATTTAGTGATATACTATGCCCAAGTAGTCACTTTAAGATGTTCTTTGTTCATGTTTGTTGCGGTGGCACCCGAGTCAAGAGCCGCATGGCTCACAGGGCTATACCAAATAAATGAAATGAAAGTAGATTAACAGCAACTTCATCATTATACGAATGATAGTCCACATATTGAAAGTGCCTGAAATGTACGCGAGATATCATGCAATTGTCCAAGTTTGTTGTTGCAGAACTGGAAATGTGAAGACCACTTACCTGGAAGATACTGAATCCAATTGGCAAGAGTTGAGCTCTGCAACCGTGTGCGGAAAACCTCTGTGATTTTGTCTGAATCAGGGAGACAATGAATGAGCAGGCCACTTCATCATCAGTGGGGTCATCATCTTCTTTAAAGAGCTGAAGATTAAACTGTGGGTTGGTCCAGAATGTGCCTAGATGTGGGCACACACGCACACATGTCCCCAGTTTAGACAAAAGACTGTTGAGGAATGTAATGTAAGAAAGTACCGATGAAGGCTGCCATGACTATAGGGACAAAGTGGTCAGTGTCATGCCTGATCATCATCATCGGTATCAACACTGTAACTCTTACCCGTTTTAATGCTTTAATGTTCCACTTGAAATAGTTTGCCTAAGCTATAGGCCCTGTGCACTCACCTTCAATTCAAGATCAAGATATCGTCACGGCCAAAGCCATTGATGCCACTACACCTCGCCACCCGTTTCAAATCTGCCATCTCCCACAGCTGCTGAACAGCAGACGGGCGACTTCCACGATCTGCCATAACAGCCTCCCACCATCTGGTCTTAGTTCATCCCCTCGGTCGCCGGCCTCACGGAGACCATTGGTCATATTCAGTTATAATTAACGTTGACGTTATTAGGCAGGTGTGCTTTATGACTTTGCGCTATAGAGTATGAATGGTATATTATCGATAAGGGGTGCACAAGGGAGATGCATGGATGACCTGGGAAGGCAGAGCCCCCACCAGCGGAGTATCCGCGCACCCAGCAGCCACGGTGCACAGTGAGAGAGCCTCTCTTGCATGTGTTCTCTCCCAGGTCAGCGGGGGTCAGGTGGCACAGTTGCATCTGTGTGAATGTGCTCCTGAAGTCCTCTAAAGACATCCTTGAAAAACAGAGGATTTGGGATGATGGGCAACCGGAAATTCTGTTAGCTAGATCCTATAATACATTTCTTACGAACAAAGACAAACAACCTCTAAGTCAAAAATCAAAGCTTCTGCCTGCTCCAATGATTATGCAGCAGTGTTTATCTATAATGATGGCCCTGAGTCAGAGGTAGGAATTCCACATTCTTAAGAGAAGAGGTCCGTCTTTCCATAGAATTGTTGATTTCCCACCAAAAATCATTGTTCATGTTCCCACCAAATAGTGAGGCATCATCAGCTGGTACTCATTTTGCAGACCCTTGAGGACAGATGATGGCCCAAATTGACGTTAATAGGGTTTTTTAATTGAACAAATCCCAAAGAAAACATAAGCACACTGATACACTGCAGAGACAAATGTTTATATATATAAGGTTGTAAAATATCCCATGACATTGTTTACAAGACCAGAAACACAATGCAATTTCCAGACTTAGATCATTATTCATGAGAGCAGATGTTTATCAGAAACACTGAAAACTATGGCCAGCATTCTTGACGACGAGCTGATTAGGAATTTATCTGGACCCCACCGTGCCATCATAGACCAATCGGCACATGGTGATGGTGACGATGACGGAATTGCGACACATCCCCAAAATGGCACTCACCAAAATTCCTCATTACTGACGAGGGACAAGAGAGTTTTTCTCTCTGGTGCCGCTATTTGCCGCCACTCCTGTGAGCTATCGAAAGAGAATACATCGGGCACACAAAACACATTCGTATATATTTTTTTAGAAAGGTTTAATGTGATTCAATTAAGTGTTCATTATGTTTCGATTTGAAGCTTTCGTGACTGCAACGATTCATCTTCTTTGGTTCTTTCGGTAAAGTCACGTAGAATGATAATAAAACAATAAAATAACACAATAAAATTCTCACGACGTTTCGGCCACAACGCAAGCGGCCGTCTTCAGGTGAAAGGTACCGACAGTTCTGTACCTTTCACCTGAAGACGGCCGCTTGCGTTGTGGCCGAAACGTCGTGAGATTTTTACTGTGATATTTTATTATTTTATTCTCATTCTACGTGACTTTACCGAAAGAACCAAAGAAGGTGTTCATTATGCTTGCAGGTATGCGTCATGATAATTATAAAGAAGATACAATTTACAACTCTTTGTCAATCCACTGCTGGATGAAGGCCTCCCCACACTGTGTCAATTATGGGAGTTGTTTGACCATACGGGACTGCAATGGTGGTCAGCGCGAGTTGATTAAAAGGGGAACTAGGCCTGGTTGGGATCTTACTCGCAACTGACGTGAGCCGTGGCGACCTGAGTTCTATTTCTGGCCATGACTAACATCAGTGGCGAGTGACATCCGAACCAGTCCTGGAACCCCCCATTCACCACCCTGCCGCGACTGTACGTGTTAAAAAAATATCGTCAAACAACCTCCACGACCAACACGGTACGGCAGGCCTTGATCCATTGGGGGTAAATTATTATTCACGTGTAATTATTAAGGAGAGGTTAGGGAAATCCTAAGCAGCGATATATATTCTGCAGATGCACACTCAACCGGTGTCCCCAGGGCCCCTTCCAGCGTGACTGCGCCCATGGATCCTTAAGTAACATCAGCGGCACTTTCTGCTTGGCCACACACGCCTGGACAGACGGCAAAACACAATGCATGTGAATTACATATGCGCTGTCAAAATGCAAATCTGAATCTGGGTAACACAAACGACTTAAGACCCAGGAGTACAAGCACCGTAATTGGTCAGCACAGGCAAGAAATGTGAGATGAATTCCTGGTCCTCTAAACCAAATTATCATATATACGGAGTTTTTGGTCACAGCTCAGGTAACAATAATTGGAGAAATACATTTAATTCTTTACTTGTAAAAAATATATATAATTTTAGAATATATTAGTTATACATACATGCAGGGTTTGTTCAGAACTCAAAAAATACTTTGACCAAGTGCCAAAAAATCAGCTGGAGGTTAGTACATTTTCCACACGAGCCTACACTGCAGTCCAAAATGTCACTTTGAATACACTATATATACAGCCTATATATGCATTGCAAAATGTAAAGAAAAAAACTCCGTCTATTATCTGCATTAAAACTTCTACTGCTGTTTACGGACACGTGAATCTGTGGATAAACTCTCGGTCACTTTCCCCCCTTTGGCTCCAATTCTGTTACCCGCATCATCCGTGCACAGGCGCTGGAGAGCAATTGAGCATGTACGCACACAAGCTGCACAACAATCGAACGCACGCGGGCGCGTGTGTACCGCAGAGGAGGCCAGCGGCTAAGCGTGTGTGCGTGTGTGTGTGTGCGTGCGTTGCACGGCAATTGAGTTAGCATGCTCGCGCTGCGGACCATCGTGGCGGGTGTGGACGAGGTGTACGCAAAGGCCCAGTTCATGTACCTCCTTGATTCCTGTCACGAAGTACACGTGCCCCTTCTCCAGGCCAGATATGGGCTCGGGCTTCTCAACCTGCAAGAAATCACCACTCTTGGGTGGGTTACTGGTAAATACAGAATTGGTGCAATTACAGATGCCAAGGCGCCGAGCTGCTGGTCATCCTCAATGCTTCGTCATGTCATAGTTTTAGTGTGGGAGTATACAGAGTGTAAAATGATAGTACACTAAATCAATAATATGGTATTTCTGTGAAAACCAGCATTCATAGATCAATTATCGATGCAAATATATTTGACTGTACAATATATGCACGTGCGTAACTTTTTTGCAGTGAAAACGGACTCGACTTTTCCACTGGGTTCACAATAAAAGGAACACCCGTGCTCACATTTGGTTTACGCAACCAAGATGTGCATTTTATACCGTTATGAGATCAAAATGCAAACTAAACAACAATACACACATTAGCGGACAATGCAGCTATGTTACAGTATATGCAGTTAAGTGATTTGCAAGGTAGCCAGCAGATGGTAGTAAAATAAATAAATGATTGATCATTCTATGATTCTTTTTGCGTGTTAGCTTCTCATGTTTGCGGCGTTTCATTTGGATAACCTGATTTCCATCCACATGCAAAATCTTCAGGAACTAATGGCCAAACATTCCAATGTAGGACCCTCATTAACAATATATTTTTAAATCAGTAAGCATATTTTAAAGTATATGACCATGCTGATGAAGTATGGTTAAACAACCCCATGACCGACAATGGTGTGGAAAGGCCTTCATCTACAAGTAGATTTACAAAGGGATGAAAATAGCAGGTTTTTTTTAGTAAAAGATCACTTAAATTTCTGAACTTAAATTTCTGGTCGGCATGATTAAGCACGGTGGGTTACCTACACGGACGTGACAAACTGCACGGCATGCAAATCAGGACATACAGCACGGTCATTGTGTCAATTGTCGTTCCAACAATTGGCGAAGTAATTCCCTCACGTCAACGGAGCAGGCAAGGAAGGAACCTCTTCGGAAGGCGACCCTCATGTTCCGGTACAAGAGCTCGGGCGACTCGTCGGTCAGTGGCAGAGACTCCATGATGCCGCCCGTGAAATCTTCCATCGCTTCCCACGCACTCACGTCTCTCAGGGCTTCGTACGAGCCGTGAAGCCTGGGCAAGGGACAACACGGTCAACGCGGTCACTTCAACCCAATGCTCAATTACGAACGCTGGCACCAACGAGCAATCTTCTCGACTGCATCATGAGTTTAAAACACGCCCTTGTCATGAAAGTGAATATATGAGACGCGTTGAGATTACATCATTGGCGGCGCTGTGATCAGAGTGCTTGATTCACATTTGGAGGATCGCTCGTTCAAATTCCTATTACGGGTCAACCCAGCTCATCTTCCCTCAACAGTTTATAAAGCGAGTACCAATTTGTACGAATACAACAGTGGTTTTCCCATTGGGAGACAGGTGCCTACTTTAGGCACCCTATTCTAAATGTGTGTTCAGAGCCACTGTCGGAGATGAACACGTGTCAACCAAAATATTTTGGGGTATATATTTTAAGGCCTAAGCAGCTCAAAAGTGGCTTATTGGTCTATACATATCAACAGAGTGTTGTCCCCTCTTATATGCGGGTATTCTACACTCTTTTTTTTTCCCTACCTCACTTACAAAAAAGTATAATTGGTCAAATATCCAAATGAGGCTTTCTGGGATAAAAAAAAAATGCAACATGGTGTCTATAACGTTATCCTTTATGAAAGCATTATAATAAGACAACTTTGAGCTAGATCAATAAAACGATACACGGCGATAATTCAAACAATGAAACATTTGTCATACACATCCACGTCCACCAGGCATTGATGACACACATCGTAACGGGAATTGAGAGTCCCACATGTCCACCAACCCCTCAACAGTGATTATTTATTATTATTATTATTCTGTTATACTCGTAATGCATTTCTCGAAGGGCCGGCACTCATTTCACACAATAAGGGTGCGATTTGAAATGCTTTTGTGACCTGTGCTCCAAAGAATACTGAGTTCCAATATGGAATTGACTTTGGGACGACATGACATCGCTGCTTTGACATGTTCAACAGTTTCCCGAGACAGCGTGGTGATGCTAACATGAAATTTCATTTCAATGTGTCTCATAATTTTACTTTGATGATAGGAGCACAACATTTCTCGCCATTCCTGCAGTGGTTTGGTACACTTTGGAACTCGCATTTCACATGGAAAACATTTCAAACCTAACTAGGTACACATTTTACTTTCTCTTGTAAGGAATGCCATCGAGCGGTACAAAAAAACCTAAAAACTAAAACGCAAATTTTGTTAAAATTTCAACCCCGTAGCTGAAACTGTTGTCAAATTAGAATTCGTCGGCAATCAATGATCCTTTTATGGACAGTGTTTTTTATGACAATAATAATGACTCATACACCAACTGAGCAGTGTAATGGTTAATACATTACCCATTAAAACGATATAACGAGAACTGAATGCGTTGACATGAGTGTGCCGTTGGCTGCACGCTTACGCCCGTACTTGGCGTAAGCCTTTTCCAGCAAAGCTGCCCAGAACTCATTGTGCTTGGGCGAGTGCACGAACACCAGCTTGTTGTTATAAGTGGGGAGGCGGTCATCCACAACCACGTCCACCCATTCTCCAAACTGCCAGAACTGTGAAGAGGCAAGAGCGATGCACAGACAACAGCGAATCTTCTTTGGTTCTTTCGGTAAAGTCACGTAGAATGTGGTTGTGTGAAATCCCCCCCGGTAGAGGCGGTTAAATTTCGATTTAAAGCTATCGTGACAGCAAGGATTCATCTTCTTTGGTTCTTTCGGTAAAGTCACATTCTACGTGCTTTACCGAAATAACCAAAGAAGATGAATCCTTGCAGTCACGAAAGCTTGAAATCGAAATTTAACAGCGAATCTCTTGAGACAGGTCTTCGAGTGATCAATTGAGTGGTGTCCTACCGGGAATGTGGAATTTCCGCAACCGGCCCAGGACTGCAAATGAAGGTGAACAAGGAGATGCTTTGATTTGTATTGATTTATAACTCCACTGGGGCAGTGTTGGGCTTTCAATGGGCTGCAAAAGCAGCTAATTAATGTGGATATTCGATCATTCAAAGTCGGTCAACGATACCAGTGATCAATATGTTCTGAAACATGGCCAGAATACAAGCACCAATCAACATGCTGAAATTACTTTAACACACTGTGAACCATGTGTTACGTTATGGGCACATTGCAAATGTAAGTTGTAACAATAGGTTACGACCTTGGTTTCTGGGTGACATTACCTAGAGCACCATTAGCAAACCACTCAGGGCACTTTACCTGCTCCAATGAATGCCTCTGCCATGCCCGACTCTCATTTCAAGCACTGTTGTCTTTCTCTTCCTAGTCAATTCCGCTGTGCAATCACTGCCAAATATCACCTTTTATGGAAGGATTTCCCAACATTCAAACGCTCAGAGCGTGGGGGAAATTTAGTCTCTCCAAGCATGACCTGCATTCTTGACCTGCATTCTTCCTCAGTAAACATTCCAAGGTTGCCACACCGCTGCCCGTGAGGAAATAACAGCCCCACAAGACACCGTACGTGACCTTTACTCAAAATGCGGCAAGAGAACATGGAGACGGTTTGTGTGCTAAACATTGCATAGATTCGCAATATCCTGCAGACAACCTATCTGGCGTATCTTCATGGCCAGGAGAGGCATTGTTAGCACACACAACACAGACAAACCAACGACCTAATGCATTTTTGCCTTAACCGCTGGCCTTTAGAGAAAAAAAAACTGATAAAAGACTGCAGATGCCAGCGATGGCTTTACAGTGTAAAATCACATTGGGCTCCAATCAGATTTCAAACACAATAACTGGATTATTTTATAGAAGTCGGCAACAGCCCGTGCTGTGATAGTGATTCTTTTTTTATGAAACCAAATCCTTGTTAAAACTGCATTGCATGGGTGACCTGCATCCTAATGAGTCTTCGCCCTTCTTCACCTAATGAATTAACACCATGAATGGAAGCTGCACTTTGCATCTACGTGACCCTAATAAACCCTGCAAACCTTTACGCGTCAATCAGGACGTGTTTTTTTGTTTTTCTCGCTAGGTGCTGCGAGTGGCAAATAAAGTGTTGAAGACTCCGCAAAGATAATCTAGCGCCAAACCTGCATTCTTTGCAAGATTGGTAAAAGAATGCCACACCACTAAGAGTCTGTGGAGCGGTAGTGGCGACATCTTGCAGCTATTTGAAGTGACGTCACAGCTGCACAAGGCAGTCGAGGTCACGAAGCAGTCTCCTGGTCACCAGCCTGTGCTGTGCGTTCCCCCGAGGGGCACCGATACATGTGACATCGCCAGGAAGGATGCGAGGAAAAGTCACGGACAGGTGGTGGTCACATGGGTTACGGTCGGGCAGCGTTACGAAGCAGTGCTGCTGTGTATTTGTCTGCTAGTAATTATACAGCTATACTGTATACCTTATATGTTGTGTAGCCATTCAGATAACCTCTGCAATTGGATGCCTCAGCCATTCACGTGCTCTGCTTTGTGCAATTATGTCTTTGGAGAGGTTCATACATTTTCCTTCGTTATTTTATATCAAGTTTCTTTTCGTGTGCATTTTTTGTTGTTTTTGCTGCTATTTTAGTGGTTGCTTTAAATAAAGGCTTGACCTCGCCATAGGAATATGGAATTTCCACCACCAGTTCAGGGCCACCGATGAAAATGAACACCGCCCCACCTTCATTCAAGTAGCGAGACACTTTGACTTGAGCACAGGGTTTTTATTTTCTTCCCAAGAGCACATTTTCATCGTACCTACGTGGAAGCGACCTACACGTGGGTGTTTTCGCCACGAGTGAGCCGTGTTCAAAGTGGACATTGGCGTCACCTGGAAGTGGAAGATGCCGGCGTAGCCGTCGCTGAAGCTCTGTCCCTCCGGCACCACGCGAGCCAACAGCCTGGGGTGCAGGGTCAGGGACGCAATGGCTGCCAGCAGCCAGCAGTCGCCTGCTCTCACACATTCACACACCGTCTGCCATGCTCTATCCAATGTTGGATAAAGGCCTCCCAAAGCTGTTCCCATCACTCACGGTCACGCAATGCACGCGAGCTGATCTCATTGCGCCATCTCTGCGGTGATTGTCCCCGGGGGTGCGTTTCCTCGTGTGGTTGCTGCTCAGTCGTAAGTCTCAACCACCAGCCACCATCCCTTCTCGCAACGTATCCTGCCCAAACCCACGTGTATTTCTTAACAGTCAATTTCATCTTTGTATGTTTAATGATCCATGTGTTTATCTTTCTGTCTCTCATTGTAATTCCACGAATGCGAATTTGCATGCTTCTGTGCACACTTTTCAGCTTTCTGATCCATTTTTTCTCAATATCCATGTTTGTACACTCTCAAATAAAAAACAAACCCCAAAGATCTCAGTTATACATACTATATTAGCAAGCGTGATGAGTCCTTTCAAAGTAAAATACAGTCCAGCAAAGTACACGAGAACGTGGGGATCTCACCACGTTGCTTGTGTCTGACATGGTGCACTTTGAAGCCAAGAGACTTCCTGGCAGGTCACGGGTCAAACTCGGGTATTGCAGGTTAGCAGACATACTCTGACAATGGGTCCACCATCTAGTTTGATAGGCTATACATAGAGGCAAGTACCTTTCGCGAGCACCTACAAAAGCCAGGAAAGCACACAAGTGGGCAGAGGGGTGAAAATCTTTCCTGGGCATGCTTGTCTCTTTGAGTGTAGCGTCACCAATCATGCAGCTATCAATGTGGAGTGCTAACGTTGACTGGCACAGGGAAATACACCCTGTATCGATCTGTGTCTCTTTCAAACTAATGCCTTCATCTGGCATGCACACTTTATTTTAATTCTTGCGTTGCATAATACATGAGCTCCTGTACACTGGACAAAAAGGATGATGCTAACAGCAACTATAGTCACTCTCATATCAACGCAGTAAAGTATTAACAGCATCTACAGTGCAGTGATGTTGATATTCAGCAGACGTTTGCGGAGTGAAATCAATTTCGACAGGCTTGTAAATGTAAGTTCCTTGAAATTATTCATGCAAGGGCAACGCACTGTAAATTCAAAGAGGCTGTTCAATGCCATTGGACAAAGCGATGGTGCCGAAAGTGACTGTATATGACAATATATAAAATGATTAGAATATGGCCTTAAGAGGAGTTACATAAACATGAATAAGGTTAGTATGTAGAAAGACAGGCAGATAATATTTATAAAGTATCACTGAGAAGTTGTGGTCACGTCGTTTATTCTGGGTTTTCTTACCAAAATCCCCTTGCTTCATGTCAGTGCAGTCCAAGCTGTCGACCATAAACACTGCATTCTGGGATATCTCCTGCCAGCACATTGCATCATTAGAAAACATTACTTTGTTGAAAACACATTTATTAGTGATTTGCGAACAGTGCTACTGAAATAAAGACTTTCACAGTGGCAAGCCGATCTGAAGAGTGCTATTTTTCTCACTAGCAGACACATCACATATTGTGGTTAGTTAATTAGCCTCCAACATAGTACTGAACTGACTGCTATTTTTGGCATCAACAGCGATGCTAAAAAATATGGTTAGAAATTAAAAGCTTCCAAGTATATTTTCACTCTTCTAAACATTAGTCATTGCTATGTTCCAATGGTGATCCTGAGCTAGTGGTGGAATATTCACATTTCCTATTATTGGGGGCCAATCTCTCTTCAAGGACTCCTCTGCTTACGAACGTCATTCGACTTACGAACTTTCAGAGATACGACCAAATCTGTCCGTAAGTCCAGCTGCGTGTTCGTACCGAGTTTTTCAAAAGAGTAGAGAGGAAACACGAGCACCAAAGGGAGTTAGCATCCACATCTACAGAACATGATCAGGCAAGAGGCACCGTGCAACTTCAGCCGAGCTCTTTTAGCTCGCAACTTGTGATAATGATATGCTGAGTTTCGATAGGGTCTATTGATGTAATGCTTTATTTCCAATACAGTAATTAATCATTGCTTATGGGGTAACGTCTTTAATTAGCTTGAGCGAAAACAAATAATATTTCTGTTAAATGTCTAAATGTGTTTAAAGTGATTTGCATTCCAATTATGTTTTTTACATCCTACACGTAACATTTATTATTTTTAAAATAATTGTATCACGATTATAAAATGTTTGTACCTATTAGAAACAATATAATTTTCTACATACTTGTAATTTTAAGGATTCTGTTAAAACTGTATCAACCATATTATGGTATTAAACTGGCAAAAAATATGCAGGCTATTGGGATTTGGCCCAATTCAAAGGTGACAAGTTGATTAAAAGATTACTTTGGTTAATAATCTCTGCAACATGCTTATAGCAATGCAGCCATGTAGTAAAGCAGCAGGCACCCAATAAAAAGGCCATTAGTTTGAATCTCAGCTTGAGCCAATTCAGCCAATCATTTATCCACGATCATAAAAGAAGTACTATCCGATGAGAACCACTTTTCGAGAAAATTGAGATTACCATTAGGAAATTACTGGTACCACTGAATTGTCATCATTTGGTAGGGAGAGTGGCTGTTCTAATTAAGGTTCGGGTCTACCGTGGAAATATCAGTGCCACCATATGGTCCAGTTGTTAACAGAGGTCCCCTTGTGCCTGGTCACTAAACTCACTACCACGGGGATACACAGTATGTGGAGTGCTCACGTGATTAAAGAAAAGTGGCTCCTTTAGGCAAGATTTACATTTCCACCGCTTTACCAACCCAGGTCATCAATATCATCATCCATCCAGGCGCCAGGTACTGGAGACAATTAGGACTTCTGTGGCAACAGCAAGTCAACGGCCAGGGCATTGTGTTGTTTTGTGTGTGTGTGTTTACCTACCCGTGGTCGCCTCCACATGACAGTCTTGAGCTTTCCCAGGTCCGCAGGCAGCCGCCCCGAGCCCAGGGATTCCATGTCCGCGTCGAAGAGCGGATCTCGGAAGAGGTCTCCCCGCTCCGTTGTCGCCCGGCGCAGGGCCTCGTAGTCCTGACGTGCCGCAGCACCCAGCTCGGCACGGCCACCCCGGCCCCCGTGGCAGCCGTGACCTGGCGGACCCTCGGTTCCCACGACCGACCTTGCCCTGTTTTGCTCCGACCCTGAACTCTGCGCCTCGCTTTGCCGTGGCCCTGACCCCGATCCGCACGCTCCCGCAGTGACCCCGCGGGGGGACTCTGACGCAGCTCGTTGCTGCTTCATCTCAGCACCGAGCTACGGGCACCGAGAACCGAGGCGCAATCTCTTACAGAGCAACCGCCACCACCATCATCATCATTGTTTACGAGCGCTGCCTCGCCTCTCACGCTTTGCCTGCCGCTATCTCCGGTACTGCACGGCGGTGATGACGATCTGCGTGCGGAGGGGTTTGGTATGATCACAAATAAACACCGGCAATGGCGATGAGGGCAATTGGGATAACGAAGACGATGATGATGATGGTGGTGGTGGTGGTGCAGCCCTTGCTGTTGGTGCTGCGTGAGATTCACGGATGCGGCAGTCGCTCCCGCTGCCTGCAGGGAGGCTTCTCCCCCATCTCCGACCGCTTATTAACACTAAACCCCAACCCTGCTCTCATATCGCATGATGTGTTTGATTTTTGATGTTGTTGTTAAATGTATACGTTCAAATATCGACAGTGTATTTGATGAAAACGTATTTAATGCGTTCCCGATTAACGACGTTTATGTTTGATAATCGACAACATTTACACGTACAGGATTTATGTTTGATAATTATCAATATAATATTTAAACGCTGAATATGTATACAGTATGTTTCATACTTTTACGTGTTTAATTTAATGTTGTCCTCCATTGTAAAGCATGATGTAAAACAAACGTAATTTTAAAAAATTAAAATAATAATGAATGAAGAATCAAACAAATGCAACAAATATCATACCATACCCGGCAATCCTCCACCATTTGAATTACATTCAGAGACAGCGGCAGACACGGATTAGAGAGTCGGGAATAGATTCGCAGGTTTAATGAACATCACTCGGACTGGTATTTTACAAGTTTTGTGGGCTTTGTCAGTGACCGACAGTCTAGAAAAAAAAACCGACTGCCGGGCCGGCAGCCAAAGGAAATGAATTCGTCACAAGAGGACGCACATGGCGAGGAGATCGGAGCAAGGTACTTATAGTTGGATTACTAACAGCGTAATATCGTGAGACTCCGGTGGCTTGGGGAGGCATAGAGCCAGTGCCGAATTAAGCTAGTGCGGGGTTTGTAGCATATGTTAAAAAGGGGCCCTAACAAATATTATAACACGTAACTTTTTAACTTGCATAGTAAAGTACCGTAATTGTTTTTTTTCATTTTCTATACGGCCAGATACGACAAATCGCTAACCTTAAATACCCAGTCGTTCATAAAAGTAGAAGGCGGTATAGTACTATCGTAATAGAGCAAGTGCAGAATCACTGAACCGGAATTGATAGCTTGAAAGCATTTAGCACGGGGCCTTTGAAAGTGCGGGGCCCGTAAGCATATGTAGCTACTTTTGCTACTGGGCTAATCCGGCACTGCCTAGAGCGGTGGATTTGTCGTGGAAGATACCGATGAGTACTGTTTATAAATTATCAGCAGGGTCAGGATTGCCAACATAATATCACACCGTATTGCCAGATATTATAGACCACAGCCCATCTTCGACAAAAAGGAGCCCTGGCAACTCACAGAAAGCAATATTGTCCAACATATTGATCTGGAAAGCCCATAGAGACTGATAGATTGAAATCTGGTCTTTTTTTAATTGTAGAGGTGACAAAAGAGATGAACGATTGTATTTCTTTATTACAAAATGCTCCGCAAAAGTGTTGTTTTTTATACCACTCGCTGCAATGTATAAAACTTACGTCAAATCCACTGCGGGGTGCAGCCCTTCCCCTCGTGTCGTGACAACACGACACTTCACGGTCCCATAACCCTTATTCACGACGTATATCTCTCTTTGGCCTCTATATGTGCCATGAAGAAGGGGGCATTTTCCCGAAACGTCGCCTATTGGAAATTTAAACTTCACTCGCTGATCAGTGCGGGTTAGTGAGGAGGGGTAAACTGGGAGCGTTTCAGATATCACTGCGGCGAGTGATATCTGAAACGCTCCTGGCGAACAAACTATCTTTAAAAATATACTCAGCCCGCCCCGTTTCACCGACACATCAGGCAACCCAATGCCTTGTCACCATCACTTGGATGCTCTTCCAATGTCATGCCTAAGGATGCTGCTATATCCTTGTGCAGGGTTTGGTTCTAGCTCATAAGCAGTGGTCATCGTCAATTAGTACAAATATGTAAACTCAAATACCATACTCTTTGGTTCTTTCGGTAAAGTCACTTAGTTAGAAATAAAATAAAAAAACTGTATAATGGTAACAATAAATGACGTGACTTCATGCTTTAATTTAATCCTGCCTATGGTCGTGCAATTAATGTAATAACCGCAAATGCCAATGCACAATCTTACTTGCAAAAGCTTACAGCTTTTGGATCATGGGTTCTCTGTTACTACCAGAAGCCCAGATCCAATGTCACAGAGATAGGAACTCTGATGGGTTCATAAACGTTCCAAGGACAATTGCCATGAGCCTAGAAAATTACACACAAGCAGGATTTTAGGGGTCAATGTTAATGCCAGTACCCAGGCAAAAGCAAGGTTCCCTTCAAGGTTCTAAATACAGACGTATTTCACAAACGTTTTTTTACCCCCTTTAAATAGTAAATTGCTTATTTCACACTTATTACCCTTTACACAGACGTATGTGAGTAGGGTAGGTGCCAATACTTATCCATGTTAACACGGAGGAATTGATTTTACACAATTGAATGATTCGCTAACCATGTTAATATTTTTTCATGCTCTCATTACGCGTCACTTATGTATACAGCAGTGACTATAACAATATCGTGTAATGCAATAAGAATTGACAGTCATTGAATGCGGGAATTAAGGTAAATTGTACATTAAAGCTTGACTTAAAGTTTTCGTGACTGCAGGAATTCATATTCTTTTGGTCTTTCGGTAAAGTCACGTAGATACAGTGAGGGAAAAAAGTATTTGATCCCCTGCTGATTTTGTACGTTTGCCCACTTACAAAGAAATGATCAGTCTATAATTTTAATGGTAGCTTTATTTGAACAGTGAGAGACAGAATAACAACAAAAAATCCAGAAAAAACGCATGTCAAAAATGTTATAAATTGATTAGCATTTTAATGAGGGAAATAAGTATTTGACCCCCTCTCAATCAGAAATATTTCTGGCTCCCAGGTGTATTTTATACAGGTAACGAGCTGAGATTAGGAGCAGACTCTTAAAGGGAGTGCTCGTAATCTCAGCTTGTTACCTGTATAAAAGACACCTGTCCACAGAAGCAATCAATCAATCAGATTCCAAACTCTCCACCATAGCCAAGACCAAAGAGCTCTCCAAGGATGTCAGGGACAAGATTGTAGACCAACAGCAGGCTGGAATGGGCTACAAGACCATTGCCAAGCAGCTTGGTGAGAAGGTGACAACAGTTGGTGCGATTTTTCGCTAATGGAAGAAACACCAAAGGTCTGTCAATCTCCCTCGGCCTGGGGCTCCATGCAAGATCTCACCTCGTGGAGTTGCAATGATCATGAGAACGATGAGGAATCAGCCCAGAACTACACGGGAGGATCTTGTCAATGATCTCAAGGCAGCTGGGACCATAGTCACCAAGAAAACAATTGGTAACACACTACACCGTGAAGGACTGAAATCCTGCAGCGCCCGCAAGGTCCCCCTGCTCAAGAAAGTACATATACATGCCCGTCTGAAGTTTGCCAATGAACATCTGAATGATTCAGAGGACAACTGGGTGAAAGTGTTGCGGTCAGATGAGACCAAAATGGAGCTCTTTGGCATCAACTCAACTCGCCGTGTTTGGAGGAGGAGGAATGCTGCCTATGACCCCAAGAACACCATCCCCACCGTCAAACATGGAGGTGGAAACATTATGCTTTGGGGGTGTTTTTCTGCTAAGGGGACAGGACAACTTCACCGCATCAAAGGGACGATGGACGAGGCCATGTACCGTCAAATCTTGAGTGAGAACCTCCTTCCCTCAGCCAGGGCATTGAAAATGGGTCGTGGATGGGTATTCCAGCATGACAATGACCCAAAACACACGGCCAAGGCAACAAAGGAGTGGCTCAAGAAGAAGCACATTAAGGTCCTGGAGTGGCCTAGCCAGTCTCCAGACCTTAATCCCATAGAAAATCTGTGGAGAGAGCTGAAGGTTCGAGTTGCCAAACGTCAGCCTCGAAACCTTAATGACTTGGAGAAGATCTGCAAAGAGGAGTGGGACAAAATCCTTCCTCAGATGTGTGCAAACCTGTTGGCCAACTACGAAAAACGTCTGACCTCTGTGATTGCCAACAAGGGTTTTGCCACCAAGCACTAGGTCATGTTTTGCAGAGGGGTCAAATACTTATTTCCCTCATTAAAATGCAAATCAATTTATAACGTTTTTGACATGCTTTTTTCTGGATTTTGTTGTTGTTATTCTGTCTCTCACTGTTCAAATACACCTACCATTAAAATTATAGACTGATCATTTTTTTGTAAGTGGGCAAACGTACAAAATCAGCAGGGGATCAAATACTTTTTTCCCTCACTGTCGGTTCAAAGAAAACAAAAAACTACCACGTTTCGATCGCAACACACGAACGCTTGTGTTGCGATCGAAATGTCGAATTTTTTGTTATTTTTTGTTACTTTCTTTGAACCGATCTCTGTGACTTTACCGAAAGACCCAAGGAATATGTACATTAAAGCTTGTACGACATACCTCTACTCCTGCACATGTATGTGTGGTGTTATTAACCAAGACTGTAATGCTATAGCTTACTCCTGCTTTAAAAAGCATCGCAGTGTAATTTTAGGGGATTCATATTTGGCGTGATATACACGGACACCCAGCGCAAACAAGCAAAGAGTGGAAAATGAAAAGTGAAGAGGGCGCTAATGCAGAAAATCCACTAGGTGGTGGTGCTCAGCTTTAGACGGGCTTAAGCCACACTGCCTTTTGATGGTCTGGACCAGGCCCAAAAAGCCATTTGGGCAGGGATTCTCAAACTCTCAAAATGCTCAAACTGTTGTGGTATGGCGGCCACCCAATAAACAACATCGATCCCCGACCCACCAACACCTTCCTATTTCCCCCCCCAACCCCACTCAAGGCACTTACAATCTCTGTTGGCTGAACATCATTAAACTGCAGTGGACATTCTCTCGGGCGTGTCCCATCCTTTGGTTTCCAAACCAATTGTAAAACTCAAAACAATGACCATCCCTTCCAGCGACGTGTCCCTGCTCAAGCCCAATTACCTTTTTAAAAAAGAAATTCATATTAAATATTCCTTAATGTTGACTGGAATTGGCTGCAATCACCTTTCTCCAAGACGAACAGTGGGCAGGAATTGTGGCACAATACAAATCGTGGCCACGAACGAGGAGCTGGTTACTAACCCTGCACAAGAACTTCTGTGGTTGGACCTACCCATGAAACAGTGGTCTGAACTAAATCTCTGGCAGAGCAGGACATGGCAGACGTGGTCACTTTCATTATCAATTAAAAATGAAAAAAATGTCCGCAATGGTTACTGCGGTCACCAGAATCAGCCCATCGATTAAATAATGAACACTGCCCGTGCCACCTATTCAGGGGCAAAATCACCGGCATCCACCAAGGCACCACCAGAGACTACTGAATGGGTAAAACAAAACCCTTGATATATACAGTACACATGTTGCTAATTTCACCTTGCCATATGAAAGACGATTTTTTTTTCAAAAAGAAAATACCAATCAATTTTTTTAAAAGTAGCTCTTCACTTTGGAAAGGAGGCACCTCTGTTCCAGTTGTGGCCTCGAAGCAGTTTTGGCCAAGAGACAACCATCATAGGTTTAAAATGTAAAATGGTGGCATCTGCTCTGGGCGTTATGCTAAAGTCTAGAAATCATATTATCATACTTGTCAACCCATACGGTGTACCCGTATTCTTGTACAGGGCAATTGAGTTTTCAGGTCCATACGGCATACAGCCGTTTGTGATGAGACTTTGTAGGATGAACGTTGAGATTTATAAGGGCACGGAGTGACCAATACGGTCTGAATTGGTCTGTAATAAGGTAGGCACTGATAAGGAGTTGACAGGTATGCACTACACACAATAGGAGCACTTGCTGCGTAGAAAAATAAAAGTGTTGTGGTAGCTCTCTGATAAACTCCATATGTGACTCAATCTTAATCTAACGTGTGATGTTTTTTAGTAACACACCATTGGTCTACAGGAAGCTACTGGGCACCTACGAATTTCTTCTGCATGGTTACCCACGGCATAGCCTGAGCAATCCCCTGAAAGGACAACTGCGATTATAGAATCAAACATTTGATTTTAATTTAGAAATTGTAATGGAAGCCCTCATATTTATTGTATGACTCACAATGCGTCGTAATTATTGGCGCAGTGGTGTGTGCATTTGTCTGTGAACCGAGCGACGCGAGATATGGGGTGTGAATGCCTTCATCCAGAAGTGCATTGACAAAGGGCTGTAAAATTATATATTCTCCATAAAAGCACACGCAAATATATGTTTTGTGCTGAACAGAGCCCTGTATTAAAAAATGCCCATAACATGTCAACCGGAGCAATACTTATTCATATTCTTAGCTCTTTCGGTAAAGTCACGTTGATACTTATTTAACAAGCTTATCGCCTGGTGACACCCAAAAGGTCAAAACCCGGTCCTTAGTTTACTTAAACAAATTATGTTGAATGATATTGGTCTGGAAAGCCCACAGACTGACTGCTGAAAACATGTTTTATTTCAATGCGGCGAGACAAATACGCAGAATTTAAGTGCTCTGCCCATAAAAGCCTTCTTACAATGCCTGCAGTCAACGTTCGTTCCCTGACTTCTGGTCATGTTGTCTGGAGCTCTCTTCGATGTAAACTTCGTGCAGTTGATTATCTTGATTATCTTGCCCTTGTTCAAGTCAAGACTTGAGGATCGTTTATTCGTATGTGCATGTAGCTATGGTTAGTTTTTTCGCCTGTGAAGCATCTGGAGATGCGGTCACATACAAACGTAATGTAAATAGTATTCTATAATTGTGATAACAAAATTCGTAATTCTTTTCTTTGTCCGTATTTTTCTCGTTCAACAGAATACGTGGTTCCTGTAAGCAAATTGATAGTGGAAGTAGACGTGTTTAATTTTTAATGTCTGGCATTAATATTGAATAGTAAACATTCAAACAGGCACTCAGTAGGGTTCTCTTGAGCTTTAGACATCAACATTCATCCATAGAATCCAGTGATATCCCACAGCTCGCTAAATCACATTCTTCAAAGTTAACTTTAAATATCACACCCAACTTCATGTCAAGTGTCTCACTGTGCAAATGATGAGCAGTGTTTATCTCTATTGTCAACCATAGACAAGTCGTGGGAATTCAACATTCCTATGCCAAGAGGCAATTTCACCAAATGAGAACCACTTTATAGCAATGGTACTTATTTTTAATATTCTTGGTTCTTTCGGTAAAGTCACGTTGAAGGGAAACAATAAAATAATAAAATATATAAAACTTATTTTATCAACCCTGGAGGAACAATAGGATTAGTTAACCTCTGATTGGGATTTGAACTCCTCAATCTTACCTTTCTGAAACTAGCGCTCGGTCAGGGTATCATCCAGCCGTCTTCAAAATGTCAACATTAAATGTTTGGAGACGTAGGTGTATATATATATATAAATAAAGTGCATAATGTGTCCGTTGCAATATTTTCCAAAAGTTAAACTAGTCATGTTCGGGTTTTTTGTGCGTCACCTTCCATGACACAAAACTTGCAACTTGCAAAAACTCCTGGGTCCATCTTACTCACACATACAAAAACATTTTATTTTCCCCATTTATAAATACACACGTACAGTAGTATTCAAAAGGCAAATGCTCATATAAGCAACGATTGGCACAACTGCGGGCTCGCATGTGTCGTGTCCACCTGTAATACAACACAGCTCCTCCCCACCCCTCCGCCTGGGACCACCTGGCCTAAGGTCACAACATGCCCACGCTTGAGAATGAGCCGCCGAATGCACCCTTGAGATTGCTCGAGTCAAAGGCAGGTTAATAAACGAGCCGATAAGACTGCCCGACTGGCGCGAGGTATCGCAGCATTACGAGAACCTTGTCAAGTTAACGTCTCATTTCGCGTGTGTATGTATTGCACAAATATTTGCATTTATATAAGAACCGTCAGTGGGGGCAAAATTGATTTTCTTAGCTATACACTGAGATTATTGCTAAAATTGTTTCATGCGTTTTCCCTCTCACAAAGATCCCCCGTATAGCCTGAACAGACTGTAGAGGCAAGTGCTGTTAGCGAGCACCTACAAAGGCCGGCACGGCACACGAGGGGGTGGATGACCAACACCACGCCCGGCCGCCTTTGTCTCCCGAGTGGCGATGTTTACACCGCACCAGGTACTCATTTGAGGCTGAGTCGACCTAGGGCAGGACCGGTTTAGATAATCGTCACTGGTGTTGGCCATGAGCAGGAATCGAACCCGGGCCGCCGGGTTCAGAGCGCAGCGTAGCGCTAAACCACTACACTACTGCTCCCAACACACACACACGTGCAATTTACCTTTCTGTGAGAGTTGAAATAATTCCTTGAAATCTACATAAGTTTAACATTTTTATAAAAAAAATACCACTTGACTTAAAATGTTACATTTGCATTATGTTTTGCCTTCCACTCTGTCTTGGACAAAAGTCAAAATCTTTGCCTTGCTCAAACAAGTCCGAGGCAGTACTCACCTCCATTCATTACCCTGAGCCAGCAGTGACATTCTGACCAAAGGAAAAACGCGAACTTCCGACAATGTGGTGCATCAAACCAAATCGTGAGTCATTTGGCTCTGTCACACCACAGTCCGACTGAATAGCAGTGTGCGGACATCTGACCTTAAACCAAGTGGTTCCCTTTGGACGCAAGGTGCATCCGTTATGGACGGCTTACGACAATAACGCCACCGGAGAACACTTTGTAAACCCATAGCTTCACAACAAAAAACAATGGCGCAGATAGCTTTACCATCCCCTCCTGCTGCCATGCCTGCAGGTTTCGCAAATTCCGCTCCATGCTTTTTTTACCATCAAGTAATGCCAACGGTGACTTGCAGAAGAGGCCACAGCTGGAGCAGGGAGGATGAATTAAAAGTTACATAAATCATCATGCACAATTCTCCAATGCAGACAATTCCAATACTTGTCCACAATTTGCACACACATGTATAGCCTTTTTACTTGAAGCGGACCAGTCCAGTATTAATGATCCAATCCTGTATGTTGATCGAATAATTTACAATATTATTTTCTTTACTCCCCTGTAAAAAAATGCCAATATAAATGGTTCACTTTGACTTTGCTCCATCAATGATCTGACCAATTACTCCTTTTAGAAATGTTTACCCTTTTTGTAGACAAACATAAAACTGATTAAGACATTATGTTTTGTCAGTTATTCTACTGGAAGTACATGCCTTTATAAAAGTCCGGCTGGTTTCGTTTTTTCAAACGAGTGAGGGTACTGGTGGCCCTGAACCAGTTTGTTAAAATTCCACATTCTTTCGGAAGGGGCCAGTCCCTCAATACGACATCCACTGTTGAAAAGTACCGTTGTTTATAGAAAAGTACCGTTGCTGTAATTCTCAGTGCACGAACTTATAATATTGCTCCTTTACATGCCAAGCCCCATTTAGCAACACACATCTGAGGGATCTGCAACTCAGGAAATTGAACAGCAGTTCACAGATCAGCACGAAAGCCATTGCAATGCTCCATCCTCACACAATCCAACACCAGGCTGCCCCCGAACAACCAGATGACAGAAAAGCATCACTTTACAAGACATATTTTAGATCTCCTTACCAGGGGGGCAGAAACATACCTTCAATCTCCTCTAAATAATACCAGCTCCCCAATTAACTATATCACATGGCCACAAGTTGGCTACACATGCCTGCTAGCTCCATACAATTTAAACAGATACCATGCACATTATCAATGCACCGATCAATGGCGTAAAAACACAACGGTATTCTCATACACGAGGGCGTACCAAAATTTGTCAAACTTAAAACTGACGTCTCAGCAATGTAATAAAAATGTAACAGTACTGCCGGAGCTAAAAGCACCCTGCTGAAGGCTCCACTTTGACACTCAGCACGATATTCAACTCGGTGAATATTTTTTCTGGCACATTTTCATGCACATGCTTGCTTCTGATTGGTGCAGGCTCTGCTCTCCTTGCTCCTGGTGGCCAATCGGTGAAGACCTCATGCGTACATGGTCAACTGCAGCCACTGCAAAGAGATGATGGGTTGTATGTATTTACACAGTGCTTGAATACATGTTACTTAAAAATGTGCGTTTTATTGGAAACATCTTTGCAAGAACGGATACGTTTAAGTTATTTAATTCGGTGAAGAGCTTCACGTTAATGCTGAAACCTATGGTGGTTGTGCTGGCTTTGCCTATAATGTTCAATTGTGCAGCATTTGTATCTTGTTGATGAGTGAATTCAAATTCCAAGTTTATTTTGTTGCACAATTAACAATTAAAATAAAAGCACTTGAAAGTTATGTTGGCTAAAATGTGTTTTTACTCATTTCAGTGATTACTTTTTTTCCATGTTGCTATACACTAGATATTGTTATATTGTCATCATTTTCCTTTCAGCGTATCGTGTGTTTGTGGTGGGTGCAAACCTTACCAAACCCAGTCCCAGTCTGATAACGCCACGTTTGTCTTTGTCAAGGGCATGGAATATTCCTGTGGCACACGGGAGATGTGACCGCACAACATTTCAGCCAACCAAATTGACATCCTGTGAGTTGTTTGTTCGCAGCAGTGCTGGAGGTTCCACACTTTCATTGTTAACATTTTCCATGAATTCATTATTAAAGTGCGGTATTGAAAGTATCACCGGCTGTAGCTGCCCTTTGTCAATAGTTTTTGTTTGCCTTATTTAATTCTACAACTTCTAAAAAATTACAATTGTCTATTGATGTAACGAACCTTTACAAGTCAATAAGGAGCCCTTTCCACGTTTTTATATTCACGTGAGACTGTATTCCACTGTAAAGGTAATTTAAAACATATCCCGACATTTTCAAGTTTTTGTTTATTAAGTATATTTGTTTTAAGTCAATGTCTATGCTCAAATGAATGTGGGGCAGCACTCCTTCACTGGTGGCCTTGCGCCAGTACGTCGGTGGTGTTAATTCCACATTCCTACGGAGGGGGCAGTCTTATAATTGGACACCAACTGTTTCATGATACATAGTAATGATCTATGACCAATTAAAGAAGCCCTTTGAGGTCGATGTATATCTGAAATTGTTGACCTGTTTTCTTTCACAATGCGATATCCATTAACCTCGGAGAAGTGAGCTGCTCTTTTGGTGATCGTGGCACCCAAGCTATGGAACATCTCGCCGCTTTAAATCAGGCAATCAGTCGGTATATACATATACAAGTCTGTTTAACACGAAGGCTTTAGATCATGATCTAACCCAAAAACCTCTATTATGGATATATAAGTCTGCTTTGAAACCCCATCTTCTTAAACTGGCCTCCTCTTTAGTTTAGTCGGTTGCCCTGGTGCTGTTTTTTCCCCTGCTTTTGATGCATTGCGCATTAGGATCCTAGGATGGAATACGCATAAGAAATTTGAATAATTATTGGACCCCTGAATAGGATTTTAACTTTGACATTTCTACGGCAGCAACAACAGCTAGATTAGACATGACACACACACACACACACATTTAAAATATGCAAGTAGCAATGTAAACATTCCAAATAATTCCCTGGATAATACTCACTGAACATGGCCTCCAATCGCACCATACAGGTAATATAGTCGTTAAACTTGATGGTCATACTCTCGTCGGCGTAGCGCATGGTGATCAGCTGATACATCTGGTTGTTCAGGTGGAATCCTGTGTGAATTGTGGTGTTAGGAGGTAAATGTACAAACATGGGAATGTAAATTCAGTATACATATTAATTTGGCTACTATCAGTGCCACATATGTGAGATATGAATTAAGGTGACATGAGACATTCATGAAATTTTACATGGACAGCCTTGGGAATATGCACGGCGCTACACTGGGAAGTTCAGTAACGTAGCCTCTGATTCACCAAATGCGAACCCATTAAGTGTAAGAAGGTTTATGACCCTCCGGTTGACCATTCAATTCCAAATTGGAGCAGCTGCCCAAATGATCCCGCGCCCAAATCAATCCATCTCACCTGCAGCATTGAGAGCTGCTCGCATTTCATACGACGACATGGTACCCGAACGATCCTCATCATACTTCCTGAAGATTGCCTGTAGGAAAGAGTAAATAAGATCAGTGTAAACAATGGCTATGCACACTGCTGGATAACACGCGGTTAATGCTCGTAACAAAAACCTGAGCTGAATCCACCTGCTTAAAACGAACATGGGGAAATGTTTACCTTCATTGGGAGTCCACATTTTTTTAATACATAACAGTGGCCAGTTTTTTTTTCCATGACATCTACTGTTGATTCCCTATTAAGTGGTGCACTTTTATTTTATTGAATCCAGAGAGATGGTGAGTCATATTGACCACCCAGCCAGGATTTGAACTTACAGCCTTTTCCATTGCGAGTGGAGTGCTCTTGCCACAGGCTTGTTTAAACACCACTGCGGTTCCTTATTCACAACACCGCAACCGTGGCTAACAATCTGAACAAAACAATTATTGTATGGTAAATCTGATGGTGTCAATCAGTCACCATTTTCTGAAATATGTACCGCATTTGAGTCCAGTGTATGTCTCCAGGCGGTGCAATAATGTATGGTTCCAACATTACTCAACGGGCCATATGTAATTCTACATGGGTGTAATGTAAGTCTATTGGCTCCATGTAAATCTGCTCTCTGAGAGGTCTGAATAGATGTGACGCTGATTGCACAATTAAATACAACGGGGAATAAATAAATAAAAACCTAAACTATATTTTCTCCCCACAGTTCACCCAGCCTAGCACCTCACCCTCTTCTCATCTAAACAGCCTCTTCTCCAATCAATACACTTTGAGCAACAAACGCTGGACGTCATGCTGAGCGCCACGTGGCACAACCAAAAATCATGTGCCAGAGCGAATGAAGACTGTCACTTTACCTGCCACATTTTGATTTTCTCCCAGAGCAGTTTGAATTCGGGAAGGCCGAGTTTTCCGCTTCCATCAGACTGGAGTGTAGCAGCAAGGTGAGGAAAATAATCACTCATAAATGCAACGGTTCTTTCAATGAGTAAAGAGACGAAATAAGTATTATATTCTTGGTTCTTTAGGTAAAGTCACGTAGAAGGGAAACAATAAAATAATAAAAATATAAAACAATATATTTCTATTATATAGTGTGGATGTACATATATAGATGACAATGAGAGGAGTAAATAAAATGTAACAATACTTTTTATCCATCATAAAGGTTTTTTTTGGGTGAGATCGCGTAAATATAAATGTGTCGTTAAACCCGCCACCACCCGACACAGCCAATTAGTAAGGTTTGTCACGTAAACGGAACATGCCAATTCGTTACTAGTACAGCACACCGGTGCGTTGGAGAGCAAATACACAACATTTACAATCTGAGTACGACTTTTCGCCAGCAATTACAACTAGCTTCATCAGGCGGACAGTCAGATTTAATGTTGTGGATTTGCTCTCCAACACACACCGGCGTGCTGTACTAGTAACGAATTGGCACGTTCCGCTTACGTGACAACCCTTACTAATTGGCTGTGTCGGGTGGTGGCGGGTTTAACGACACATTTATATTTACACGATCTAACCCAAAAAAAAAACGATATCATGGATATTGGTCGCGAAAGCCTACGTGTTAAACTGATGCTTTTTTTAATGACAATAGCATTTCAATTCACAGCTATTTGTCAATTTGCCGCTGGATTGAGTCAAGGGGGGGGTTGTGTGACCTTACTTTACTTCGCTCCTCAGTGCCAGTTATTGAAGGGGAATGCCCAGGATTAGTCCAGACATCGATACGCCACTGAAGTTAAGTCGCGGGCCAGCAATTAAACTCAGGCCGCCGGGTTCGCAACATTCCCTCAGAACTGCTTTTTGTGTTGAGTTTGTTGCCCTTCCCCCGCACCTCCGATTAGCGCGGTTGGCTACGTACGGTGCAATAGAAGTTCGACGTACATACGAACCACTTTGTCAGCGCAACCGCCTAAGCCCTTTTACAAATTTCAACGTCACTGAACGCATATTTCACGTAGGTACCGAGGCTTTTCCCACAAAAGCTTTGGAAAGGAATTGGTTAACACAAGCGGGAGTTGTTTTTTTTTTTTCCCCATTCAGTTTCAGTTACACGGGGCAAGCTATTAATTAAGCGATCGATTCTCCAAACATCGGTGTGAAAGGGCATCCGTTTGGGAAAACAAGACATTTCCCGGAGCTTGTTGCACGCAAGCCAAGAGATGCAATTTAGCGACACGTCCACTGCAGGAAAAAGAGGAGGATTAATGTTCACATAAACCAATTACAGTCGCCAAAGGATACATCCATGAGGGCAACCATGCTCTGGCAGGCGTACAAGCTGAATCCATCGGACTTGAGCTCGCCATCTGGCCCACACAAAGACAAAGATCCCCCGCCATATAGCCTGAACATACCGTTGTGGCAAGTGCTGTTAGCGAGCACCTATGAGAGCTGGCGCGGCACGCGAGGGGGGTGGGTGGCCAGCGCCACGCCCGGCCGCCTTTGTCTCCCCCCAGTGGCAATGTTTACACACCGCAGCAGGTACTAATATGAGGCCGAGTGGACACTAGGGGAGGCCCAGGACTGGTTCAGATAATCGTCGCTGGCGAGCGGGAATCGAACTCGGGTCGCTGGGCTCATAGTGCAGAGCGCGAATTGCTACACTGTTGCACACACACAAACGCCACCACAAACCCATCTTTGGGCAGCGAAAACCCTTGGGCATATCTATAATTGCAGACGTGTCGACGTTATTCACGTTAATTTGGACTGCCGTCCACCCCCTCCCCCCACCCCCCATAAGAGCAGCGGCGGGTTGAAGAAATATTGCCGAAATGATTGTGAATTACACGTGGTAACAAAGCATTGAAAAAATACAGTACGCGATAATAGTGTGGATGTACATAGAAATTGCGCCAGAGATACCTGGATTGATCATATTTGTAGGTGTATTCCGTTAAACCTATTTATACCAGACAACAGCGCAGCTTGCTTCGTCGCCGTGAATGCTGTGCTGTGTTCGAACCATTTCCCTAACATCACACGAAGTGCGTGAAATGCATACCGCTTAACTAAATAATAAACAAGACTCTGTGTGTTAGCTGTGTCAACACTTAGGTATAAGGGCATATGCTTGACCGTTTTAAAATGTTTGCATGCAGATATAATGTACAACAAGGTCACATGTATACGTAGTCAACGATCAACGATAGGTGTCCATACTCTGGTTCTTTCGGTAAATTCACGCAGACTGCTGTCTGATTCTCTCACCTGAAGACGGCCGCTTGTTGTTGCGATCGAAACGTCGTGATCTATTATTATTATTATTATCTCTACCCACGTGACTTCGCTGAAAGAACCAAAGAGTATGGATTCCTGCAGCCACAAAAGCTTCAAATCAAGAACGATAGGTGTCGTACAATCATAGTGTGCACCATTGCGATAATACCTTAGGCCACACTTGAACTGGTCATATGCATGATGTCGAAACAAGCACGTGCAATGTGATGTTATTTTACGTGGCACATGCATAACATGCCAATCAATTGAGCCTCTAATGGAATAGTTCATCATGCTCATCATCAGCAGAAGCCCTTTGTCAATCCACCGCTGGATTCAGGCCTCCCCACACCGTGTCAGTTGTGGGGGTTGATTGACGACACTGCGTCACTGATAACGCTGCGTCACTGATTACACTGCGTCATTCAATGGGCGGGGGAGCCCAAGACCGGTTCAGATATCACTCGCCAAATGATGTTAACCGTGGCCAGGAATTGAACACAGGCTGCCAAGTCCATTGGGTAGTGCGTCGACGACTGCACCGCCACTCCCCACGCGCAGACACACTGATGCCACACATTAGGGGCCTACCCTGCGACAGAGTAGTGTTTTTTGCACGATAGTTAATCCGATATTTTTTTTTATTAGAGATCAAATCTAGCCAAATTAAGTAAAGACTAAACTTAATAATAATAGGGGTTTTCCCCTTTTTTCTGGCAACAAAACGAAAACCTTTTTTTTACAAGGATTCATGTCTGCATTAACCACATATACCTGCAGTCAAAATGCAAACAAAAAACATACTATGATAATATATGCATTGTCCTTGAAACTGATTGGTCCACACCAATGGACGGCTTTCTTTTGAGCCTCGACCCAATTGGTGAAAAACCCTATTATTACATGTTGGTACTGGCAAAGGAGGTCTAATGAACAAACCTTAATGTGTAGTCGTTGGTGACTTGTATCAGACCATCACTTTACTACACTTGATAACTCAGTTTAATCACAATTGAATGCTGAATCTCAATAGCGTTCGTTCAGAATTTTGCTCTTGGAGCCATCCAGCTACCTCAAGTGGGTACTTATTTTATCTACCATAAAGAGATGATAGGCTAAGTTGACCCCCAACCAAGATATAAACTTGAAAACTTCTGATTTAGACCCAAACAAATTAGCCACAATGCTAACCAGCTTGCATGACCTACCATATATAGTGCAACAACATGATTACAGCTTTGAGAATCCATTCATTTGAAAAATCAGTAAACTTTGCCCTGCAAACAGTTTGCCACAAATTAGTAGCGCTGCAGTAAGCTAATTGCATATATTACAATCCTACAGATATTGCAGATGCACAACGTGCATGATTGTATAACACAGCACCAAATGCACAGGAACAAGCGGAACAATCCCAAAGAAAAGAGGGATTCGTAGAGGCAATTAAAAAATGCACGTCCATTCCCCCCCCCCCCCCCACCTACATGCAAATTATTTCAATTTCCAAACAACTAAAGAATCATACGGGACTGTGAAATATATCAATTATTTAAAGCCACATCCAAATGTTAAATGAAAAAACGCGCTATATCGTGTTCAAATAAAGGACACCGAATTGAAATACATGAATTATACATTTTGGGGCCAATGAGATATATAAACTTTGTTGCCACCGTAACGGATGTGAATGGTGCGACCATGATATTGTAGCCACGCCAACGGCCGTTTCTTACCATTGATTACCATTCTGGCCATGGACATGAGTGGTGTACATGTTGATCAGCCAACATTTTGGCACGAGGATGTACATCGTTTTTACGAAGCAGTAATGAGTATATATTTTTAAAAAAGCAGGTACTGGCAGCCTGGCATCACTCTTCACTTGAGATTCAAAGCCAGGTTCTCTGTTCTTTTGCACATCCATTGATTCACGTAACGATGTTTTTCTCATTTATAAACATTTAATAATGTGCCCAAAAAAAGGGGGATTAGATTGTCGGTTACCGTGAGACCAGCAGCTGTAGCGGCAGCCGATGCAAATAAAACATGTTTTAATCATTATATTGTGCTGTTATTTATTAAGTTTAAATGAGCTCGACATATGATCATTTGAAGAGATGGAAATCACTTTGACTTGCAATGTTTTATACCGTGAGAACAGTTATAATATATTTCTCATGATTTACAGTACTTTGTTAATCCACTGCTGACGGCATCCCCATGCCGTGTCGATCATGGGAGTCGTTTGACCATGCTGGCTGATCCAGGACCAGTTCAGATGTCGCTCGCCACTGCTGTTAGCCATAATCGGGAGTCGTACTCGGGTCGCTGGACTCAATCGTGCAGCGTGCTTACCACTGTGCCAACATTCCGCCCAAATACAATATAGAGTATAGACACTTAAACGGCTAAAACATTTCAGCGAGGTATTTTCTGAAACTTGTGACTGGCACAAGGCCCAGGAGATGTCACGGGTTTTACAGCCGATCTATTAACTCTGTAATTATGAGATGCCCAATGGTTGCTCAACTTATGTCATATTGCTCATATCAAGGTGATTTTTATTTATTTATACCACAGTCAAAATGGCTTCCACATAAAATTGGGCCAGGCTTGTGATCATTTCTGCAAATCACCCCGAGTGGGTGGTGCAAATTCTACATTCCTATGGTGGGTGGCAGTTTATCCATGAGGACTAGCAATGTTGATTGCCCACAAAGTGTTGACCCCAGATGGGACAATGAAGCGAGTCAAACTGCCGGATGGAATTTTAACTCTCATCCTTCAGATTGTGAGTCTGCTGATCTAATCACCGTGTCCACATGGCCATAGAATTGAAATGTAATTGACTAATTAGAAAAAGTTATTGCAACTTCTGTTCCCTGTTGAGAATAACATCTTTAATGTGCATGGGGTTGGGTGTCAAAAGACAGAAATCAACGTAGCATATGCACACTTGTAAATATTATAATTTATACTGCTATGCTTGTAGCCATCGAGTACGTAAAACAATATCAATGATTCATTGTATTTCGACACTATATCTCTCACAAGGTGACAGCATATATATTGCCAATCTGGATTAAAGATAACCGCGCGACCTATTTAAATAATTTAGCAGTTGTAACTGAAATAAAGTCATCGAAAATCCAGACAAAATAGGTCGGAGCATTTCACGACGGCATTCATCTCTGGCATCTCTGCTGGGTCCGTGGGAAAATAAAGGTCAATCCGCGCAAAACAGATTTGATATTTCCAGCAGTCAGCTTGGCACCGTGCTGTGAGAAATATTGCATAACGTTTAGAAAAAACGGTGCATCGGTAAACTCACGTTTGGCAGTAACTTTGTTTAAGAGGTCCTGCAGTTCCCTGGGGCTGATCTCCATGTCCTGTGAGACAAGACAACCGGGGGCGGGCGCACGACGATGAGGGCAGGGATGGTGGCATGGGGCAGAACATGCCCTACTCGCGTGCCCATTACAGAAGGAATCTGAAGCGCAGAACGAATTAGCAGTGCAAGCATCCAGCAGGGTTTCTGAAACTCGTGGTGGTGAAGAAGAGGTCAGTGTTCCCCAAGCGCCGTGGCTCGTCTGCGTTCACCATTTACGTGATCCGACGTTTGTTCTATTATAAAAAAAAATAAACGATTGGGATTCTGGTGCACAAGCACATATGACAAAAAATGCAACATGTTCGTCGATAACACTGTGACCCTAACAAGAAAAACAAATATAACAGGTGAGGTTCCGAGCAATGGCCCTTCTCCAATGATGTATGCCGCCCAAGGCCACTTACTTTTCTTCGTAGATTTGAATTAGGTTCTTAAAACTACAAACATCTCTCGGCGTGTCAGTGTCATTCTGATCCTGCACCTCCCCACAATTCTTCGTGCACGTTTCATCTTTTTTTCCATTTTCTTTGCCCGTGTCGACGTTTGTGACAAATAAGGAATACATGGCAATACGCAAAGATTGAAAACTTTATTCTTCAGAAACGTTGGTATTCTGCCCTTCATTGTCAAACTCAGCTGTCCAGAGGTGGCCCAATTGGCTCAGAGATCAGCCAATGTTATTAAGCATTTGTAAATTAATAAGAAACATCGGCTGGCCTACAACAAAATACCAGCAGCACCTGAAAACCTTATACACAGGGACTCTTCTACTTACGAACGAGGTATGCTCCAGAGGTCTGTTCGTAAGTCGATTTGTTCGCAAAGTCCAAATTTACTCCTGTCGATTCCAAACATGTTGTACGGCATGTACACTAAACACAGGGAATGGATTTAAACGTTTTATAATCTCATTTAGATGTAGATGCCACTGGTTATTCATGTTCTGCAGATGTAGATGCCACTGGTTCTTCACGTTCTGCAGATGTAGACGCCACTGGTTCTTCATGTTCTGCAGATGAAGATGCCACTGCTTCTTCACGTTCTGCAGATGTAGATGCCACTGCTTCTTCATGTTCTGTAGATGAAGATGCCACTAGTTATTTATCTTCTGCAGATGTAGACGCCACTGGTTCTTCATGTTCTGCAGATGTAGATGCCACTGGCTTTACACGTTCTGCAGATGCAGATGCCACTGGTTCTTCATGTTCTGCAGATGAAGATGCCACTAGTTATTTATCTTCTGCAGATGTAGATGCCACTGGTTCTTTATGTTCTGCAGATGTAGATGCCACTGGCTTTACACGTTCTGCAGATGTAGATGCCACTGGTTCTTCATGTTCTGCAGATGAAGATGCCACTAGTTATTTATCTTCTGCAGATGTAGATGCCACTGCTTCTTCATGTTCTGCAGATGTGGATTCCCTTTGGTGCTCGCGTTTCCTCTCTACTCTCTTGAAAAACTTACCAAGAGATGTCTGCACAGTTGCTCTCTTCTTCTCTTCATAAATCAACTTGTAACAGGTAATAGGATCGTGAACAGCTGCCGACACCTTAGTAAACCTCTTATTGTTTGAGTCCCGAGACTCAAACCAAGCCGGTGCTTGACACCGAATAACCACCGCCATCTATTGCGCGACGGTTGAACTTACGACTCATGGTCCGAACAGGCAACTGGACAGACAGATTTGTTCATATCTCTGAAAGTTCGTCAGTCGAATGCTCGTAAGTAGGGGAGTCCCTGCATATAATCGAACGAAAACGTTGGATACCCCTTTCAGTCGATGGACATGCAGTAAACGTCGGATGGCATGCCGAACAACATGTGGTACAACCCAAAAACAGCTATGATGTTTCAGATTTCTCAATACACTCCATTACTAAGTACTCTTTATTTTAAACAGCTAAGTCTGTTGAGATTCGTTACCTTGACAAACTGTTACATGACAGCCCATAGACCCGAGAGGGAATGGTGGGCTGTCAACCACATGAACCAATCTTTCAATTGTTGGTTTAGAACTCCAACCATAGTGTCACCCAGCCATCATCATACACTCAGAAAATAAACACAGAGTAGAAAAAAAATCCCTGTGCGTTTTCGAACTTCATATTTGAAGCAGCACATTGTGTGTTTAAGCCGATAATATGAGCATCGGTAACCACACACTGAGGCTATGCAATCTCGGCTCAACTTACACCGCCAAACAATACTCCCAAATGGTCTCCTGAAACCAAATGTAGGACCTGCTCTCAAGTGAATAAGTGAACGTGCATGCAGTAGAGAATGGTGTAAGACGAGTCGTGGGGTCAACAGAATACACACACACACTTACAAAAATCTCTTTAAGCTAATTCATGCATTGACTTCCTAATATAATGGAGCCAACGGTCTGACTGGCATTTGGCTAATGTTACAAGCGCCCTCGTTTGAAACACTTTTGCGACTGACATGCAAATGGGACAATGCACAAGCACACAGAGGCAGATTTGTGCTCGGCATGTCACTCTAACCTCTTGCCTATTCACACTAAAGTGAGAGAGATGTCTCCTGTTTTTACAATCACCGCTGGTTTACAAATGGCTGAGGCAACGTGCATTTCGGTTTAATATTGAGCTTGAAGGAGAAATCACACTCATGATCCACCAGACCCTTTGTTGAATGGCCTGTGTGTGTGTGTGTGCGTGCGGGTGTGTTTTTCTGAAAACAAACCAATTCTTGCCATTCCACCTGGGAATTACCCGAACAAGAAGGGCGACAGTGGCAATTAACCTGCTACACATGGAGGTTAAAGTAACAAGGCAGCATGGGTTCGTCTTACAGGTACATTCGTGAGGACGTTGCTTAACAACAACAAAACGAGAATCACAGTTGAGATTTACATTGCAAAGATTGGGCTGGCGGCAGTGGTAGGACGCAAACAAAATGTCTGAAATTAGAAAATTATTCTTCAATTAACCAATCGTTCATGCCAATAAGAGGTGGGCACAACACTACAAAGCCAAATCAATTTCAGGTGCTTTACACATTAGTAGAGTGAATGATAATACACTATGTGAATGTTTTTATTCCGATTGGCTAACCCAAAATATAAATGCAAATTTGAATAAAAATAATTTGGCGAACATATACAGCTTGTTGTTTATGTATGGGCCTTGCAGCGATGCAATAGGCAGTTCACATCATGGGAGAACCAGAGGTGTTATTGTTCTACAAACTGCCAAGGTAAGCCCACAGTGTTATATAAACCCTCAACGGTGAGAGGAATGGTGCTCATGATGCAATGTACTAAGCATTGCATGTCACCTTTAAAAAATAATAAACATCACAAGCATTTTGGTTTAAAGCTTTCGTGACTGCAGGGATTCATATTCTTGGTTCTTTCGGTAAAGTCACCACGTAAAAGGGAAACAACAAAATATTAAAAATATAAAACAATAAAATTCTCACGACGTTTCGACTGCAACACAAGCAATCATGATCATCAGGTGTGAAAACCACAATTCACACCTGATGATGATTGCTTGTGTTGCAGTCGAAACGTCGTGAGAATTTTATTGTTTCATATTTTTAATATTTAGTTGTTTCCTTTCTACGTGACTTTACCGAAAGAACCAAGAATATCACAAGCATTGTTAACTTTCGTCACATTTACCCCTAAGCTAGCAAGTCACGTTGTGTGACTGCATTCTACTACTCAAGCCAAGACGCTGCCAGTTACACACGCAATCACTTGCAAGTTTAAGTCACTTTAACAGTAACCTCTAATTACAAGTAGCAGCAATTACAATTACATTCTAACTCGGCATTAATGATGTTTGTGGACGTATTTTATAAGTGTCAAAATTAATTATTCTGGCGAGAGTGACTAAAATTAGAAATGGTATAATTAGCAATTAAAGAATGTGTCGAATACTTACGTCAACTTAAATTAGTTTGTTTTACTTGTCCGAAATGTTGAATTTTAGCGACCAAAATAAATGCCACCTCGCCACCCCACCCACTCGTTCGACTCTGATTGTCAGCAATGACTACAATACACGGGAGTGTAATCAACCCCTAGCAAGTCAAACGTCAACGTATCTCTGCGGTTCTTCATCTCCTCTGGCGGAGGTCCAGAGCCATCAAATACACAAGACAACTGCTGTTGATATTCTTAGCTCTTTCGGTAAAGTCACGTTGAAGGAAAATAATAAAATATATATAAAACAATAAAAATTCTCACGACGTTTCGACCATAACACAAACGGTCATCATCAGGTGATGACCGTTTGTGTTTCCCTTCAACGTGACTTTACCGAAAGAGCTAAGAATATGAATTACTGCAGTCACGAAAGCTTTAAAGCAAAATTTAACTGCTGTTGACTTCTACAAAGCAGAAGCCATTCTATTCAGCCCAGGCGAATGTGGCCGAGTCAACCACACATTTAAATTTCCATCTGTACTTTTGGTGCTCTGCTGCAGCAGCACTTGGCCCAATGTGGTATAAGTAGGACTGTACGTACGTCTGGCAGAGTAAGCCAAAGACCCCCTCTACAGCTCCGTCAAGAGAGGGTATAGGTTATAGTGGAGGCTCTTCCACCATCAGTGGCGTGAACGATAAATGCAGGGCTGTATTTTTACATTTAACCCGAAGCTAACATACTTCGCATGCAATTTAAAACACCTCCTGGAACACCGCGTTAAAAAGACAATGGTGGATCTTTTTGCTTGTTTAATTTTTTCACTTCCAGCTTGGTGCACGCGATTTTAATTACTCTCCTTTCAGAAACGCTCACCTGGCGTAACACGGAATGCGGTTTTTAGCTCAGCAAAACACTTTGGTGAGGGGGCCCACACCCCTCCCTACTGCCATGACACGATATTGGAATTCGGGACGCGAAATGTATTGCTGTGCTCAGAGTGGCGAGGCAGCGTTTATTAAAAAACACTCTCTACGTGGCGACGATTAAGCAGCAGATGCGATGAGTGGCTGGAAGCCAGCAAGGTCAAGGCTGCAGGCTCATCATGTCTTTGAGCGTTGCTTTCCTGGCCGACTTTAATTAGCAACCGGACTGTTCGGACACAGTAGATGTAGCAGTGCGCTTGGGCTGTCCGACCTGTGACCATACAAAGTCATGCAGATTATCTCCAACAAAAGAGCCAGCATTATTTATTTAAGGCAAGTGATAGCAACACATTGCTTCCCAACATCACTGCCAGCCATGGTCTAGCCACTGATGGATGAAGGCCTACATCACACCTTAAATCCCTCACAGGCTTGCGATGCCACAATTGATCTCATCCCCGCACCTCAACCAAGCCCACTGCTCAATTTGGCTGGCATTCAGTCATCAGGCTTGCTGACTCCTTATTATCCTTCCTGGATATGTGTCGTGCCCAAATCTACTCATTTTGTTTCATCATGTTGATCCCAATCTGCTTTCTGAAACTGACCTAGATGTAAATATAGCTGTATTTTCTAGTAATCTTTAAAACAATTATTTCATTTTGATTGGCCAATTTTTTTTACGTTAGGTTTGTTTCATTCCTATTTGCATGAAACAAAGTCTAACTTTGGTGCCCTCTTTGTGAAGTTATTCAATTGTCAAAGAAGCAGGACCAGCTGTTGAAACAGAATTATTGGACCAAGTTACTAAAACGTTTGTACAGAGATGTAATGCCTCGGTCATGGAATGGTGCCTCAATCAATCTTCTCTTTAAAAAGGAGACAAAAAACTGAACTGGAGATATATACTGACCCATTATTCTCCTACCCACACAAACTGTACATATATTATTCATGAAGATTGTGGGGGGGGGGGGGGGAAATAAGTGTACATTTTACAGGCATGTCAGTAAGCTGGATTTATTAAAGGTTTTTTTTTACCATTGAACACTTACCAGAGCCTGGGAAAAGCACACGGCTATCAAAAACCACAATACTCAGCTTTTATCTACAGGGCTTTTTAGGCACTGTAACAGCTCATGCAATTGTGTAATCATTGTACCCAACACCGAATCTACAAAAGAACATGCATTTATAAAGCATGTGAATGCGACCTCAATGCAAAATGCTGAACATGTGTGTCATGAAGACTAAACTATTGAAATTTTTATTTTACCAGATAAGGCCCACTGAGAAGCGACCTGGCCACAAATGATAGCTCAACAAAGTGGCTTATCATGTTGACATTTACAACAGCCAACTACTCTAAGGACATGTTTCTAAATGTAGAGAGAAAAAGCGGAGGACCCGGAGAAAGATCCACGCGACCGCGGGGAGCAGAACGTGCAAACCTCCAAATGTACAGTGGGCGACAGGGTCGGGATCGAATCCACGACCCCCCGCATACCAGGCGAGGTCATTGACATCTCGCCACCGAAACATGGGAGAGAATAAAAACTACTTCCAAGGGTGTGGAGAAGAAAATATAGTGTGGCGAGGGAAGAAACACGACTTTATAGAAATTAACTACAAACAAGGGGTGGGGTACGGAGAAAACAGTTGCAGGCAGATGAGAAGGGGAACTGGTCTCGGGCCCGCGCGGTCCCCTTTTTTTAAGTGTGATGTACCCACCTCGCCGGCCAGCTTCTTGAAGACCTGTGTGAACCTACGGTCCTCGTCCGTCTCCACCACCTCCACGGGCATGCTGGGCTGCACCGCCAGCACGGGACACACAGGTGGACAGTCTATCGTGTCACAAAAACACAACACCACCACTTTCGTACGGGGGACCACGTGATGATGGCGGAAAAGGGAGACGCAAACATTGAGAGTTGGAAATGACAGCGCGGTCATCGATCGGTGGGGGCAATGAGATGTCGCAGCAGTTCGCGCGTCCGCGCAATGAACGCGGCAATCTGAGTTGGATGCCTGGCCACGGCTAACATCGGTGGCGAGTGGTATCCGAACCGGTCTTAGGTCTCCGCACACCTCACCAACCCGCTCTGAGTTGCGGAGAGTCAAATATGGCCAAACGTCCCCTGCCATCGGTGCAGCAGTTGTTCATCCAGCAGTGGATTGAAAAAGGGCCGTAACTTTAGTTTTTTTTAAAATTTGATCAACGTTCTTTGTTTTACAGTATATCATCAGATCAGCGTTTTATTATAGCGGAGGCCAATTTATTAATAGGAAAACCATTGTCAATATGAGGTGATTAAATTGTGCATTTAAAAAAAATCCCTTTAGTGCTATGAGCATCTGTTAATCGGATTTAGAAAATATATAGGGAGTGTCTCCATGCACAACAGAGCATTTGGCAATGTTCAAATCTCCTTTGGTGAACCCAAGTTATTGGTAGAGAAACCAAGGTGCAGTACATGTACCTGTGCACATGTACAGCAGCCTTTATGTCAATCCACCGCAAAGTGAGGGCCTTCCCACGCCACGCGGGTCATGGAGGATGTGTGACCATGCTCTACCACGATGGTCAGTGTGGGTTGGCGGAGACAAGGAAGGAAGCAAAGAAGTAGAGTACAACAATGGATTTTGCTGCACTTCCCTCAATGCTGTCCCACATCGTATAAAATCTCTTCTGCATGGTGGTGTTTGTTCATCCGAACACTATCCAGGCTCAACCTTGCTTTCACTTTTAAGAATCTCATCAGCAATGTGCTCATCGACAACACGGTAGCAATTAGGGCCACCGCAACCTCCGAGGTTGACATATCTTCTAATAGCAGGAGGCGGGAGTACTCCACGTGAATGCGTTGTCATAAGCGGTGGCTTATTATGCAGCTGACAAAACACAGGGATTCTAATGTCCTGGGAAGACTGCTAGATATAATACAGGACAGCTGTCTCAAAAAGAGGACAATCCTGGGAAAACCAGGAGAGATGGCAACCCTCGTATCAAAGTCAACCAGGCCGACTCTGTTTTTTACTATTTGCACATGCAAAAACCAAGGTCTTTGGCATCTATTTTTGCATCTCGGAAAGGCTAATGAGACACACGGGGAAAGGGGGGGCACAGAGGGCATATGGGTGGAAAAGAGAGATGGTAGCAAAAGTGAAATTAGAACCGAAATCTATCCATGGGACATACATTTTTCAAATATATTTCCGTCTTGAATATAAACAACTGGATGTTAATAAATGTGCTGCACATATATCAAGTTAATTACACCACTATTACCAGTAGACCTGTTTTACATCCAATTATCCGGATGACTTGTCTTCGCAATGTAAAAACTAAGACTAAAATATCAGTACAAGAGATAAGCTAATTGGGACATGACTGATATAGTATATATAAATATTGCATACACATTCCATAGTGTTTATGTACATGCTATGTAATCTGTGAAAGCCAGACATCATTAATTTGTGATGTTTGATGAAAAAAAAAGCAAATCAACTCAGCGGTACAGATGCGCACATTAATTTCGATTCAATGATGCTGTGCATCAATTGGAAGTGAGGCAGGTCAAATTCCAGATGGAGGTTGACATCGGGCACCATCCCTTTGAGGTTGATACAAAAATACTTGCCCCTTGTTCCATAGGAATCCAGACCATTAGTGAGGTGGCCGAGCGGAATTGCGTTTGCCGATGCCCCCGGTTATAACTGTCGGTCCGTTCAAATATATAAATATATGCGCCGTCCGCATCAGTGGACGTTAAATTAGAGTAGGCCCAAAGGACTCGTCACGGTCAAATTACTCGCAAATGACTTAACTCGAATAACCCACTGACAAACGAATGATCACTTCCCGGCCGGTGCTCCTTCACCATTTTCCACACACAGGGACAGCTGTCATCAGCGGGGCTTCCTAAGCTAAGAAAGAAAACAACGCTATATAATGCTGGGGCATTTAAGTTCCTAAGAGGCCAAAATCCTGATTCCTTAGCACTGGCCCAGGGCCACCAACAGCAAATAATTAATTTGAATCTTCCTTATGGACACACTGTCATATGGGAATTGTTTACACAAGTCAAATTGTCCCTATACTCGAATATTTGGCAATCCTTATCTCTATTTCCAGAATTCAGTTCACTCATAGGACGGACGAATCGCAGTTGAATACAGACCATATATTGTTATTTTTCCATACATTGTAAACTATACCATTGTAAACAACCACATTGTTTTGATTTAAAGCTTTCGTGACTGCAGGGATTCATATTCTTGGTTCTTTCGGTAAAGTCACGCAGAAGGGAAACAATAAAGTAATAAATATATAAATTTTGCTTTATATTTTTATTATTTTATTGTTTCCCTTCTACGTGACTTTACCGAAAGAACCAAGAATATGAACCACATTGTTCCAAACATTACAAAGCATATTCATTACACGAAGAGATGACACAGAACCCCCACCTCTTCAATGTTGGCACCAATTCTGTCGTCCGACTCTCTGTTGGGAAACAAAAGCAGTGGTTATGATCGTTGGAGCTGGGCACTGTTCCCAGGACCATCTGTCCTGTGAATGTTTTAGCGAGTGTCCTACCCAGGAAGCCTCTTCGTGTAGCAATGCATTCAGTGTGACCCCACACCTGGCTCATGCTCATCAAAACACTAAACAGATGCCCGGAGTTTCTACTCTCAATTCGTTTGTTCAAAGCATCTCCTCTGACCTGCTTGAAGGCGCCTCTGAATATTGGCCTTCCCTTGCTGACAGAATTGTGTTTAGTTTCACCCGTAACGGGGGAAAAACTACTCATTCCAGTTGCGCAGAGGACCCACCGATTACAGTTGTGATTGTTGTCGTTATTACGAAAGCAAACTTTAATTACAGTCTTAATGGTTGTAATTAATACCCATTCTTGTGACTAAAGTCATTATTGCTATCATGAAATGTAATTACAGTATTACTGTCCTATCGAATTTCTTACACAATTGTTGTCATCATTACTGTCACCGTCATCATCATCGTAATAATAATCATCAGCCATGTTCTATTCATTGCCGGATGAAGACCTCTCCACTTCGCAACCACCCCCGCACAGTAACTGGGCTGAGACCACCAACTCGTTACACTTGAAAAGCTGCTTTCATCGCAGATGACCGAGGTCAAGGTTCAAACTCAGGATTCTAACCAGCTCCGACTCAGTACTTATTCCCCCGAGTCACTCGCCTACACCACAGTGCTCACGTTTTACAGATGGACTGCTCCCCCCCCCACCCCCCCCACGCAGGGATCGTGTCCTACATCTCGCTGCTCTGCTTCGCAGGAGGGTGAAGCGCGCTTCCCGACGCAGTGTTGCCGGGGCTGGCCACGCACCTCGATCTGTTCATCTTCTCGCAGTAGACCCGGAGCAGGAAGTCGGCCTCCTGATGCGGCTCGTACGTGGACGGCACGATGACGTAGTGGCCGGGCGGCAGGCGGAAGCGGTCCGACACCTCGCGCAGGTTGATGAAGTTGTGGCTGCGGGCGCGTGAGGAGTTCCGCACAAAGAATTCCCCCGGCAGGTGCGTGCACCCGGGCGGCGCCTTCAAGCGGATCGGGGATCGGGCGCGGGCGCGGGTGGGACCGGAGGCCCGAGATCGACTCAGCCGCAACGTCATCAACCTTACGTATGTATATTTTAATTTCCAATGTTTTTTGGTTCGTTTGTGACTTGCTTACCTTTCCTACCCGCTGCACTCGTGTGCGTTTTTGTATTGTTGTTGTGACTTTCTGGCCCACCCCGACTGGACATCTGTGAAAAGAGCCTCATAGCTGGTCTGATGCCTCCCGCAGCCTTAATGAAAATTCCGACTCTGAGTCCCGCCCACGGCCAACACCAGTGACGATTTATTATCTGTGCCGGCGCCGGGCCTCCCCCTAGGTCTACTCAGCCTCAAATGACTGCCTGATGCAAAGTGTAAACATTGTCACGAGGAAGACAAAGGCGGCCGGACGTGGTTATGGCCACCCACCCCCTTGTGTGCCGTGCCAGCCATCACATGTGCTCGCTAACAGGGGGATCTTTGTCTTTGTGCGTGTCTGTGCATCTGTGTGACCGAGTGGCTCACCTCGTAAATGGCGTAGCCGATGGTGAGCAGGTCTCGCTTCTGACGCCGCATGTTCTTTTGCATGAGGGCGACGATGAAAGAGCAGGCCACCTCATCATCATCCGGGTCGTCATCCTCCTCGTGCAATCGCAAGTGAAACTGTGGGTTGGTCCAGAACGTCCCTATGGGTGGTGAAACACACACGAAGACACACGCAGCGTCTTTGTGCGTGTCTGTGCATCTCTATTTAAGGAACGAAAGAGGAGAATTTCTCCACAAATCTGACTGTCCGCCTAATGAAGCTAGTTGTAATTAGCGGTGAAACTTCGTAACCCGATTGTAAATGTTGTGGATTTGCTCTCCAAAACACCGGTGTACTGTAATAGTAACACGAATTGCCATGTTTTCCATTTACATGACAAACCTTACTAATTGGCTGTGTCGGGTGGTGGCGGGTTTTACGACACATTTATATTTACGCGATCTAACCAAAAAAAACTATAGTATACACGTAATGTTGTCTCATACACACACACGAGACAAAGAGGCATCAGAGTGATGTATGGCGTTTTGAAAATTCTGGTGGCTTAATAACGGCCAAATAGGTGCATATCCTCGTCGCTTAATTCGCAACATAAATGATCACGGGCGCAAACACAGATAGCTGGCATGATGCATTCAAAGTATCCCCCTGCTCAAAAGAGCAACGGGATGGTGCTCATCTCTACTGGTAGCCCCGAGCCAATGCTGGACATTGCGCATCGCCAATGGCGCGGGGCAAAGTCTCTCGGAGCGGGACGAGCCCACGGTCGGGTTTAATCCCGCCCCCCCCGCCCCCAACTCCGAAGCGTCGCCGAATTGGTACGGAACCAGCGCTCGGCCGCGCTGGCAGGGGGTGCTTTCTCAAGGTCGACCTGCGTAGTTGCGGCAGCCCCCGGCGGTGCAACCGCGCAGCCAGCGTCCCTCGTGTGCCGTCACCGTCCAGTGGCGCGAGCCGCTCTGCGTGCGCAGCGTGTCGGGCGACAGGTTGCAGATCTCCATCTTGGAAAAGTTACGCTTGAAGTCCGAGAAGGACATCCTGGCACGCGGGCGGGGGAGGCGGTGGCGGGGGCGGAAGAGACGGGGAACACTAGCTGGTTGGTAGATGGCGTACGAATGGACGCGCCACAGCCAGGTGTGGCTCTAGGGTTTGGTGTTACATGTTATTTATGTAGTTTATTGTTAAAAAATTCGGTCACAGTTCCTATGATCACTGTTACGTTGCATTTATGGCTTTATTTTGGTGATTTCTAAACGTTTTTTGGTTTGGCCATGTTTTTGTTTATTGTAGTACGGAGTTAGACTGATGGCCTTAATCTAAGTTTTCTTGTTGTTGTTGTTGCGTGGGTGAAAATAAAATAACAAAAAATCACGACGTTTCGGCCACAACACAAGCGGCCTTCATCAGGTGAAGGGACGAGACTGTCTAGAGGACAGCGCTGTCCTACAGACAGTCTCGTCCCTTCACCTGATGAAGGCCGCTTTTGTGTTGTGGCCGAAACGTCGTGATATTTTGTTATTTTATTTTCACCTACGTGACTTTACCCAATAGAACCAAAGAGTATGGATCCTAGCAGTCACGAAAGCTTTAAATCTAGAGTTGTTGTTGTTTGACTTGCATCCCACTGGGATTTTTGCACACAGTGTTGGTGTATGGTCCTATTTCAGGAATATTTTGATGTTTTTTCCTGGATTTTCTGTTTGCACATGCACATAGTCACTTTAAGATGTTTTTCTTGTTCGTGTTTTTGTTTTTTTGTTTGTTGCGGTTGCACCCAATCCAAGAGCCGAATGGCTCACAGGGCTATACCAAATCAATGAAACTATGAAACTATGAACGTGTAAATAGGGCAAGGCGGAGAGACGGACGGGGGTGCTCGCGAGGGAGCCATGAATTCAGTGGCGTTTTATGGGAAGTCGGCAGAGGTCTTCCTCTGGATGACTCGTGCCCGCCAAGGTAATATAAAATTCCCGCCACCGCCTCAGGGCCAACACCTTTTCTCATTTCAGCATGGAGAAACGTTAACTTTTATTCAACTTGAACAGTGTAAAGGCTTGCTCATGCTACTGCTGGTATAATGTGATTGCCTACTATTTTAAGCTTGGAAGGAGGTGGTAGTGCCTACACTTTACCCCACCACACTCGATCTGCCAATCCACTTTACCTTTGTTAACAGTGTAAAAGTGTAGTAATTACAGCCATGTGGCACTGTCAGCAGAGTGGTCAACTCACAAGTTGGAGGTTAGCGGTTCAAATACTCGTTTGGGGTCACCTCACCTCATCACCTCTCCGGTATCGATAAAGTGAGTACCACTTCGCGGGACGTTATAAGTTGCCATCCTGGGAATAAACTGGCCACCACCATAGGAATGTGGAAATTTTCACCACTGGCTCAAATCGAGTTGAGCGCCACCTCAATACTGCTATGAACATGGGGACACTTTCACTGGATTAGTGCAGTCGTATAATCCAGGACTAAGACGCGATTATGACTTGTACCAGAATTCTCCATCCTCCGCTCGGACTTGCTCCAGTCGACGTCTCTCCGAAACATCGACGACCCTCCACTCCCATGAGCTGGGGCAGGGGTCAGAGTGCAAACTTACAATTGGCGACCATGGTCAAGTGGTTAACATTTGCGGTGAACAGTCTTATAAAATCAATTCAGAGTTTTGACCAAACGCAGTTGAATATGAACAATACCGACAACCGATTTAGATATATACGCAGTATGTGTTCACTCAGTTTATCAAGACTTAGCGAGGAGGATCCACCTCCAGATATTTCGTCATTTCCTTATTAAGAATATTTTGAGGCGAGGGAGGAAACCTGATTGTAAGGAGAAATCCCACTGAGCTATAACTTATTTTCAGAAACGACCTGGCGACAAATGATAGCTCACCGAATCAGTTGACCACGTGGGAATTTATAGTAGCAGCCAAATACTCGAATCACATGATTTTAAATTTGGAAGGTAAAACTACAGGACCCGGATAAAAATCCGTGCGACCACGGGCAGGACACGCGGACTCCAAATATACCGGCATCGTCAGGGTCGGGATCGAACGCACGACGTCCTGCATAGCAGGCGAAGGAGAGAACATCTCGCCCCCATGGCACCTTAAACCAGTACACAACTCAATTTCCATACACACAGATCAGAAAACCTTACTCGTTGTACTCCCAGCTACTGGCCACCGTGCGTGCATCCCCTGGAGATGGGCATTTCACGCAAACGATTCCCAAACCCTTGCTACAAGGGGCTGTCTTACAGGCGTCCGCCGCTACGCCTACAAACGATGACAACCTAACGATAATTGCAGGCCATGGTTACGATTAGATTCATAAATCCAGATGAGATGGAACACCGAACACGGATCGCCTCAGTCCATGGGAAAACGGCGATTTCTGAGCCACAATTTGGCATAAAAACAAATGATCACACGGGACTTACTTATCGCTCCAGGCCCCATTCCACTCCACCTCTCCCCACGGATTCCTGATTCGCACCAACCTTACATCTTGTCCCTCAAAAAACACCTGCAAATTAATGAGCGATAACGTTTATTTTTAACTAACTGTGACCCATTGAGACGTGACATCCACGTGCGTAAACATTTATTTATAAACGCTGTGGAAAAAAAATACGAAAGGGTTTGTTTTTTAAAAAGGAAGAACTGCGGGAACACCAGAAATAATGAATGAAAAAGTAAAAATCGATAAATATTGGATTAAAATAAAACATTTCTCGCATCATGAGCAATGCACAATGTTCCTGAAGCAATCTGAAAAAAATGTCATTTAAAAGCAAAACAAAGTTATACAAAAACATATAAACCAACATGCAATGAAATAACATTTATTTTATTGCATAGAAGAACCCAGAAATACGCCAGATACAGTAGAAGTAAAAAAAAACACAAAGGTGCATAAGCCACAAAATTATTAATTACAGAAACAACGCAATTCAGAATTGTCTTCGCCAATATAAAGCGGTGCAAAAAAACACTACCAATTAATGCAGGTACGAAAATCTAAGTAACAACAACCACACTTGGCCAGGCATCTCAACCTCCGGTTCCCCCCCCCCCCCCCCCCCCATTGATTAAAACACAAATCTAAATAATGACTTTGGATGAGAGTTTATCGGTCTTCTACAAGATCACTCGAACAATATAAAAGTCAGGGGCCTTCAAAATTACATTAAAATGATACGATGCTACAATACAGGGATAGAGTTTGGTTTCCCTGAAGCAAAAGCCACATAGTTTAAGTCCACTGGGGCTGTCATCTGCTGTGTGGAGGAATTGGGATGGCAGCACTGGCAAAACTAAGAAATTGTTACCAAGGTTGGAGCTCCCCGTACGGGTTATTCGGATCAACGCGAGGAAAAAAGCACTGTCCCGGGTAGGTAAGAGTGTGTAAACAACGCGTGTGTAGAGCTGGGACGATTGGACAATTAAGCCTATGAATCAACAACAAGTGGCTACTCGTTTGATGATGAGGGACGTCACCGGTAGTTGTCCTACGGAGACTGGCCCCTACTTTACAGAAGAAAAAAATGATCACAATCGGATCAGGGCGACCAACGGAGAATAGCACCGCTCCAGTGCTCATTTGAGGAGGCAGGGGCTTGACTATGCTGAGGCCACGCCAACAGAGCTCACGTGAACTTCAGAGTGCTGGAGTGGTGCTGTGCACTTACCTGGTCAAGGCCCGTGATGGAGTAGGCGTGGCCTTTCACCAGCCCATTGGGCAGTCGTGCCTCCAGGTCAAACATGCTTGTGATCTGGCAACAGGGATAGCCGTTAATAGAAGCCAGGCCACCTGCGGAGGCTTACACTGCTATAGCTCATGCATATAGGGTTGCCACATGTCCCGATTTTCCCAGAACAGGTGGCCACCTCGTTTTTAGGTTGCCACCTGTTCTCCTGGGAGATTTGTAAGTCTTACCGAGACATAACAAGTCAATTGACTAACAATACATCACTCTGGATAATTCAATTACATAAATGTACACCTCAGAGGTGGCAACCCTACGTGCAAAGGAACATGACTTGTCATGAATGTATTAAGTGATATATAAAGTATGCCATTGAAATTCTCTACACGGCAATGTGTTTAGTTAGAGATCCACTTACTAAAAGGCACAGTTATATTGAATTAACTTTAGTAAAAAAAAAACACAATTGGCAGTAAATACGGATTTGCGCTGTTGAGGTCAGGTGACGGCTGCGAGACGTGAACCTTAGGGAACTCGTTCAGCAAGGGGCATCACAAACTAGGGAAGGCGACGCGACAGAAGCTCTTCTGGCGTCACTTCAGGAAGCTTCCCTCCCCCCAAACAAACATCGGGCGCAATAATAATAATAATACTTATCTGGCTTTTGCTCTAAAAGTACCATCTGTTTGGAAAGTACTGTAATGGCTGCGGATGCAAATCAATCCTTGAATGAACCGCGTGCAACGAATGCAGATCCACTTAGACTTCCCAAGACGAATGTACTCGAGGCATCACTTCAATTCCTGAAGATGCAAGCAGTCGTGCGTGTCCGAGTCTTGAGGGAAGAAAACGCTCGGCAAAGCGCCGTATACCAGAAGACCACGCTCGGAACGTAGCGGTCATCTTACTCATGTTAATTGCCCTGGGAGTAGACCTGTACTTGAAAGTTGATTAGAGCAATGCCAGTCACTGACCTTAAGTATCCATGAGTTAGAACCGATTCTCTTAATTGTAATAAACAAGCCAGCGGTGCAAATTCCACATTCACATGGCAGAGACTTGTTCATGTACAGCACAACCACTGTTGACTTCCCACAAAGTGATACTTAATGTATTGGCCCCAGAGAGATGAATTAGCTGCCAAACCCCACATAGCATTTTTACTTTGGACCTTTCAGCTATGAGAAGAGTGCCCTAATCAGAGCACCAACTAGCTGATTGACAGGAGAATAAAAGCTATCAATTTGGTCAACAGGGAGACATCCTGAAATGAACGTGTAGAGTTGTTGCAATTATATTAACGGAGCTCTACATGGGCAGCACTGAAGGTTGGTCACTATGAGTGTTAGAAATTATGCACTTTCTACAATTGACAGCAGAGACACCCAAGAGATTCATTAAACACCACTATGATTAGTAAAATGAGCCAGGCAAGGTTCTTCATATTCCATGTCAGGAGTGTCCAACAACGTTAAGTAATTAAGAGTTTACGTGCAAATCATATTTCCTTTCTCTTTTACCTAAAACTATGCACGTATGCATGTGCATGGAATGATAATTATCTACGGCTCCTTGCCAATTCACTGCTGAATGAAGGCCTCGCTATCCTATACCTTCATGGAGAAATAAAGGCAGCCAACATTAACAGGTGCTCACTAACAGAATCTGCATTAACAGTGATGTCAATGGCTGCTGTTGCTGTTGCGTGTGTGGTGTGCATGGGACAGTGATTCTCACATCAATCGAGCAGCCCATCATAGACGCCTTCTCTAAGCCCTTGCGCATGATGCGGTAGAGATCTGGAGGTGCCTTCTTCAGGTCGTAGAACTCGAACACACCGCCCGTGAAATCCTCCATGGCCTCGGCAATGCTGCCACCCTTGAGGGCCTCATATGAGCCATTGAGCCTGATGCACAGGATGCCACGCAATGCTCAGCATGTGACACCTGGAATCTGCACATTGTTACATTTTTAATTGAAAACTAATTGATTTAGATCTACTTTTGCGTTAAGTTTGTTGTCCTTCCCCTGCACCTCCGATAAGCATGGTTGGTGACGCACGGTGAGAAAGAAGTTCAACATACATACATCGTTCTATGCTACATTAATATACATGTACCCAGCACAGTTGTTCATGGACTGATCTGTGCAATTGACAATGCACACTTGGAGCGGTCAGTGCAGTGGTTAGAGCATTGCACTATGAACCGTGTGACCCGAGTTCGATGTGAAATTGTTGCGAGTTGAAATCCCAGCTTTGGGCCCACTCAACCCATCACCCTGCAACCAATAATAACCAGCACTGAGTGGAAAGACGATTGCAATCGTTCTGTACATAGACAGGACTCCATCATAGTAATGTGGAATGTTTTACCAGGGCCTTAGGACCACCAGTGGAGGTGACCACTGCTCAGCGCCCATTTAAGCCTGGAGGGGGGACAACTGACTTTTTGTTTCACACAAAGAATACATTTATGGAAAAACAATTGTTGTCAATTTGCTTATAAACGAGAGCCTTCTCCTCCGAGCCATAGCTACAGGGTCCCTTGTGACCGAATGTTTAAAATAAGGAAGTGGCATCCACCGTACCTTCACTGGCCTATCACGTTCTGATTTCGTCGTCCATTCACTGGCGAATTATGCCACACACATCTGCCATGTGCGTGGCATAATGGCTTACGTCTGCGCGCAGGAACACGTTGGTATGGCTACATGAATTCACAATTACCATCATTTTTATGTGCCTCCAATTAGCACCTCTCTTGTTCGCCCGTGAAATAATCGGGTCATTATGAATGGAATGGTGCACGTGCCAGTGTGCACTATGGCAAGAGAAAAGACAAAATGAGTGCCCATTTTCAACTGGTGGTCCATGGGCCAGATCCAGCTCATGCCAGCTTTTGGAGTGGCCCGTTGCACTATGTCCTGCCAGGAAATTGACTAAGAGACAGGCTGGATCCGATTAGTTAAATCATTGACTGGAGACGTGCTGCATCATTTGAAACACGAAGCTGATTTTGGGTGCAACCCAATTAATTTGTAAAGTCGCAAATTGAGAGGATGGGAGTAGTGAAACCTGTACAACTATCTCATGCTAACGTTTTTAAGCTGCCCAGAAAAAAAGATGCAGAGTTGTAGAACCCTTCTGCTGGGTATGAATTAATAGAATCATCCATTTAATGAATTAATATATGAGAATAAGAGTGTCATGAATACCACCAGGCATCACAGGAAATTCCACAGTACGTTGCACGTCCTAGGGAGTGTGTGTAAATTATATGTGCAGCAGTCTTATACACCGTCAAGTTAAAGTTAAATGTTTTCCCCACGAGCATGGGGTGGTGATTATTTCCATTCATGGCCCTAAGCATAAGGACATTCCAAATTTCTATGACAGGGACAGTGTTTCAGTCATTGCTGGTTTGCCACAAAGGGTTCTCATTATTTTAACCCCAAAGGCATGACGAGTTGAACCAACATTTTAATGACATTTACAATTTTTAGTTCAATGCTATGCAACAACGACACTCATTGGTATAATTAATATTAATCATCAATACAGTACTGACCTTTAACCCTCCTGACAAGATTATGAATTTTGTATACAACATTAGTTGTTAGGTTAATGGCATGCCCTAATGGCTCATTAAACACACTAAAAGTTATATTCTTGGTTCTTTCGGTAAAGTCACGTAGAAGGGAAACACCTGATGATGATTGCTTGTGTTGCAGTCGAAACGTCGTGATAATTTTATTGTTTTATATTTTTATTATTTTATTGTTTCCCTTCTACGTGACTTTACCGAAAGAACCAAGAATATGAATCCCTGCAGGCACGAAAGCTTTAAATCAAAATGTAGCACTAAAAGTTGTCGATGTCATATTGCAATGTATGGATGTTTTCCACAGTGATGGGGATTCCTATTGGCTCGAGGAGATATTAGATTATTAAAATATAACAATACTTTAGTTGTCCAATTAACTGAATCTTAAGGTAATTTTTTTAAGATGGTGATATATATATACAGAGAGATGTTTGGCCATTATCTTGATTTATTTGCGGTTTTTGTGTGGGAGGAAAAAAACATTTTGTCCAAAAAAAAAATCTCACATATAAAACACCACAAATGCTTTAACACAATCGATCGAAAAACCTACTTGTTGTGCCGCTTTCTATAGGCATCACTTTTTTTTTTTCCCGTGCATGCGGGTCGCGCCTCAGCGTAAGCCGGCAAATCCGCGCTCGCAAGGAGACGATATTGAACTTCTCAAGACCCACTTTCTTCATTGCCTCCGATGGACACCAGACTCACCCGGCATGTCGATTCCCTCACACACACAATGACATATCCACGATCCACCAACCCCACCTTCAAAGAGCTAAATGATAGACAAGCACCGTTTTGGCAGGCGTAATGCAGGTTGGTTCGGTAGGCTGAGCACACTCGCTGGTTGGCAGATGTGACAAAATAGGGTAATGAGGCACTCTCAAGCATGACGTTGAAAGTCACTGTTTAGCAGTTTAGATAGCATCCCCGAGAACAGATCCAGAAGTGGGCATTTGCATATTGAGCAGCATCTAGCCTCGCACTTCAACCGTGTACACCTAGCCTGGCACATGTAAAAAAAAACTAAAATGACGAACTCAACTGTTTTTATTTTACCAGGTAAGGCACACAGAGCGATGTAGCTCTTTTTCAGAAGCGACCTGGCCACAAATGACAGCTCAACCAAGTGGCCTTTTTTTGCGTGAAAATGTACAGCAGCCAAATACTGTAAACGCGTGACGTTGATTCTAAATGTGGAGGGGAAAAACTGGAAGACCCGGAAAAAATTCCACGCAACCATAGGGAAAGAGACACGCAAATAAAAAAAAAATACAGGCGTCATCAGGGTCGTGATCGAACCTACGACCTCCTCCATACTAAGCGAGGTAGTTAACGTCTCGTCACTTTGGCGCCCCTAATGCCACGGTGATTGGCATTGCCACTTGTCATTGCAGTGCAAGTAAAATATATATGTCCGTGACGAAAGAGGTTTTATTATTCCTGACATAAATCTTCAATGTTATGCGACCCTGGCAAATATATGTATAGATTATGAGTGGAAATACATTTGTTTTGTTGAAATCTATAGTTTAGCATGCTTAAAAAAATGTTCTGATTAACATTGGTGTACATTAAATTTTGATTTAAAGCTTTCGTGACTGCTGTGATTCATATTCTTGGTTCTTTCGGTAAAGTCACGTTAAAGGGAAACAATAAAATAATAATATATATAAAACAATAAAATTTTCACGACGTTTAGACTGTAACACAAACAGTCATCATCAGGTGTGAAAAAAAACAACGGCAAGAAGCATTTGCCGGTGGGTTTTTTTCACACCTGATGATGTCTGTTTGTGTTACAGTCGAAATGTCGTGAGAATTTAATTGTTTGATATATATTTTATTGTTTCCCTTCAACGTGACTTTACCGAAAGAACCAAGAATATCGGTGTACATTGTACGTTTGCAAAATGCAATGAGGGGGCAAATGGTCGAACCGAAAGCACCACACTCCAGTATTCTACTTTGTAACAGGTCACCTCAAAGTGCTTCGCAGCACAAACAGGAATTATAAAAGCAACTGTTGAAAAAAGGTGGGAAATTTTAAGAAGAAAAAAAGTTCAAAAGATGAGCAACAAATGTTAAACATCGGACGATAGCCCACGCACACCAACAACGCGGGGCAAGACCGCACCCGCATTCAAAGAAGAACTTTCCGTTCTACAAAAGGGATACGGGGCCAATCCACGAGGTGCTCGCCCCAACTGAGTAAAAGCACACCAGCCATCTTGGTCCCAACAAACCCCACCACCCCCGTTGGCCATTGGACCAACTATAACACAGGCTGACCTCCCTCACCGGCACCACACACCTGGCCACGACGGAACGGCCCTTTTGATCCCAACGATGTAATGTGCCTCAAGAAGAAAACGGTGTTTAATCGGTGTGCGCCGCCCGCCACGGACACATGGCTCAGAAACGTGGTCACGAACGCCACCTCCAATAAGCACGGTCTGCCACGTACGGCGCCAAAGGAGTTCGACGCACATACGAGTTCAACGTGAATACATACGTGAACAAAAACATTAAACAAAAGATGAAACTTGTGAAAGGAAGCGCGGAGGGTGGTACGCTTGGAAATAACATTTCCAGACATCGAGTGAAACACACAGATTAAAAAACACACACGCTGGTTAAAGAGATCGTTGAGAAGAGCAAGTGTGCTTGGTAAGGACACGGCACGATAAGGTACGATCACCGATGGTCAAGAAAAGCGATGAAATGGCAACCCAGGAATTAAACGTGTCTGAAAGTACGTCCCTTGAGGAAATGGAAAGATATCAAATCAGCCAGTGTGCAGGTTGCTATCGGTGCATTGTTACATCGCAGAACCGTGAGAGACAGCGGTTACCTGGGGAGGCCTCCTTGCAGCGGCAGCAACAGCAGCAACGGATAGACAATGATTCTAGATTTGAAGCTTTCGTGACTGCAAGGATTCATACTCTTTGGTTTTTTCGGTAAAGTCACGTAGGCATGAACAGACAATGCTTTGTAATTTGACAAACGCGCGCTGGATAGGTGCAAGGTGCACGGGGTTCGTGTAACACACACGGAGCAATGGCGAGGTGTGTGTCGGGAATGTTCGCGGCATGCCGAGCGAGTGGTACACGTGCAGTGCACACGCAAGGCGAGGGTCGTGCGTGCAGGGGTTGTACTTTGCATAGGCCTTCTCCAGCAGCGCACTCCAGAACTCGTTGCGGTCTGTGGAGTGCAGGAAAGCCAGCTTGTTGTTCTGCGTGGGTAGCAGGTCGTCAATAACCACGTCCACCCACTCGCCAAACTGCCAGAACTGAGAAAAAAGGACGAACGGTGGAGAGAGTGAGAGGGGAATGGGAGGGAGAAGGAAAAGCAGAGGGCTCGGCAGTCATCGCACGGATAAACACCAAGAGCTCCTCAAGGGTGAACGGAGTGTGGAGATACACCCAGGCAAGTTTAACTCCATCCATTCTCGATCTGTTTGTTTACCCCAGCCAGAGGGTATTTGCAGGAGGGAACTGGCAAAATAAGGTTGCCCAGGGTGGAATGTGCGCGCGTGTGTTTATGCAGGACAGTTCCGGCCTTCATAGGCACTCGCTAACAGCACTTGCCCTCAACAGTCTGTTAAGGCTATACGTGGGGGGGGGGTCATTGTCTTTGCAGGATGGAGCCGGGGCCAGTTGTCGAGACGGGCACCGGCATGGGTCTCCACGAGTTCCGGCAACCAAGTCTCCCACCACCACCTTAGGCCAGGTGGTGGGAGACTTGCTCGGGCCGACGTTGGAGGTCGCGCGTCCGCCGCGCAGCAGCTGCGGGATTCTGGCACAGGGCGGAGAGCGTTGGCCGAGGTGTGATGGCATCAACCGGCTTGGGCCATAATCACATCTTGATCTTTAAACAGCTTCTCGCGCTGTGCGAGCTGATTACTGCAGTGAGGAAAGTTATTGGGAAAAGATTTAAACACGGAATGGGCTCCATGCGACAGCTATTGCACACGGGCTGCATTCAAAGAGTGCGCTTGCAAATGACTGAGGTTAAGGTAAAGTCAAAGCCTCGCTGCTCAAACAATCGTGGGGAAGTGCCCATATCTGTTGCTGGCCCTGAGTAAGTGGTGAAAATTGCGCATTCCTATGATGGGGATCAATCTCTCAACGCTCACAACCTTTATAATTCCCTCAAAGTGGTACCCAATTATCAAGCCCTTCAGGGATGATGGGCTGTTTCAAACCCCAGACTGGAATTTTCAATCTGTAACTTTCTAATTGATAGTTTGAGTGCTCTACCACATCGACGCCAGGTCTGCTATTCATACACACGGTGTAGATTTATACATTTACAAGCCATGCAAATATTGTACTGAGCAAGGGTACACTTGAAATGTACTCTGTGACTCTCAGACACCACCAAAGGCAAATTCATCAAACTCCGATTGCTCGATGGTTTTCATTTGTTTATGAAGGTAAAGAAACAGTGAGCCTCAAGCTGATTTACAAGACTGCTCCGTAGACGACCTTGTTGCAACAAAGGATGTTACAGCAGGGAATAAATGTAACATTGCAGACTCTGAGTAGTGAGGAAAACAGCATTCAGGTCATGCACCTTTCATTTGACATCTTAACATCCACTCCACATTATTTTCTCCAATACTCTATTCAACGCAGCAGCACACAGAGGACAATGGTAAAACATAATGGAGACGTCGCCAGAGACCGTGAGAAAAGTGCTCGGGTGCTAATCTTCTTTCCTTTTAAAATTTACAAGATTGTAGCCACAATTGACCGTGGCTTAAATTTTAATCCAAGGCATCCTATAAAGAGCCACAAAGACAAGCCTCTGGCATGCACGATAACACGACGCTAACAATTGATTTCATTGTCGTCTGCGTAAGCGATGGGGAACATGTTTTATCGTGCAATTTTGCCTTTAAGAGCGGCTCATTTCGAAAGTCTCTTTTTCTTCGTTATTTTCTGTCGTTTTTATTTTAAATTAACATAGGTTAAGTATTTTGTTTGCTCTTTCAGTGCTTGCTCTATAGGAAATGCTGGGCCCAGCCATTGCAACGTGGAGTTTCCACAACCGGTTCAGGTCCACGAACGAAAGCGAGCAACGTGGCCACGCCTTCGTCCAAGTAGCGAGACACTTTGACTTGAGCACAGGTTTTTTTTTCTTCCACGGAAGAGCACATTTTCTACATGGAAGCGACCTACACGTGGGTGAATTCGCCACGAGTGAGCCGTGTTTAAAGTGGACATTGGCGTCACCTGGAAGTGGAAGATGCCGGCGTAGCCGTCGCTGAAGCTCTGTCCTTCTGGCACTACGCGAGCCAACAGCCTGGGGTGCAGGGTCAGGGACGCAATGGCTGCCAGCAGCCAGCAGTCGCCTGCAACAAACGCAAACGTTTCCTATTTAGTCTTGAGACAATTAAATGACGCTAGCGAGAACCTAATGAAGCCGGCACGGCACACGGGGGAGCGGTGTGGTTAGAACGGTGCCCGGCTGCATGTCTCCCCGATGCTGATATTCTACACAGGACACCAAGTTACTCATTTAAGGTGCACTCAAGACAGTGGAGGCCTCATAGGGTGTGTACAGATACCAATTGTCACTGATGCTATCCATGGGTGAGAACCCAAGTCGCTTGGACAGCAATGCAGTGAGTGAACTGCAGCACCACTGCTCCCCTTCATGCACAATTTCATACAACAGCAGCTCTTATTTGCTGCTAAGACGTAGCGATGTCACCGCAGCGCTTATGCTAGACTTAGGTACACTCTGAAGTGATGGGAAGTGGCAAAGGCTTACTGGCAGGTCACGAGAAAGACCCAGGTGTTATACGGCTTAACAGATATCCGACCAGACACCCCCATGCTTATGAGCACATACACAATGGATACACTTGGGAGGTTGGGTTTTAGGAGACGTAATAACGTCTTTATAATATTCTGTTTATCCAGGAAAGCCTCAACGAGCCTCTCCGTGCTTTTAGAGGCAACCTCTGCTTGCGACGTTCATTTAGAAAACAAAGCTGGTCGCACGGCATCGCGTTTATTTCGCCACGAAACACGCATGCGTTGGTGAATGTGAGCGGTCGTATTCTCCCTCGAAGGTTACGGTTTGAGAGCTGTGCTATCGTTCAACTTACCCAGAGCCCCCTGCTTGATGTCGGTTCTTGTGGCTCCATTCACAATGAACTGTGGGTTGTAGCATATTTCCTGAGGTGCACGTGGGGGTAACAGTGTGAGTAAACAGTACGATTAGACCTTGGTGCTCCGTTTCACCCCTTTCACTTTGTTGCCTGCAATAAATTGCATTTGGGGGAAATTACTAAATCCAACGAGGCAAAATGTCTCTAAGCTCTAACAGTTTAGAGGTTAGGGGGTGGGTTTAATTATGGGAGCCTGTGGCAAGTAGCCAACAGGGCCCAGGAAATATTTGCAGGGGGCACTGGCTATGGTGTCCCGCTGTCCAATACTGGGTGGTGCGGCACCTGCTCCAATATCCTCGACGTTGCCATGAATATAAAAAAAATATATCAAACACTGCATTGCAAAAAGCACATCCTTCAGAGACAACATCCTTGAGAGACATAAGGAGGAGCACACAGATAAGAGAACATGTGCAAGTTAGAGACATCAATATATGCTTTTTAAGAAAAGTGGACTCTGAGCGGACAAGCTGTTGGAAGGGATGATGGTGCGTGGTCAAAGATTAACGACAGAGTGGCAGCCAGGGAAGGGAACGCGCCTCAAAGGACGTCCACCGTGCAGACGGAGCGATGAAGTCAAGGCGTGTGGAAGCAACTCGATAGATTGTTGCAATTGCAGGACGGCGAAAGATGGCGATGCCTTGCAAAGACCTTCATCCAGCAGTAGATAGATGGTCTGCTGAATGAAGGTCTTCCATGGCGACGATGACGATGCAAACAGTGCAATTATATACGGTAACAAAAATTCTAAGTGTGTCCCCGTACTCAAACGAGCATTGGGTTAAACTCATCTCCACTGCCAGTCCAGAAGCGGCAATGGAAATCGCATGCTCATATCCCCGCACCTCCGATAATTAATCACGGTTGGTTCCGTACGGTGCGGAAGAGGCTCAACAACAGACAACAAAAGGCAACCGCTTTTGACTTTCCACTCGGTGGTGCTCTTTTTTTTGTTTTAAACCACTGTAGAGGGATGATGGACGGATTTGACTGACCACCGGCCAGCATTTATAATCACGACCCCTTCGATTGTGTCGGATGCTCTAACCGCAGCGTTATCCCACGAGGTGTGTGTGAGAGAGAGAAAAAGCAGAGAAAAATAAAGAAATGTTGCCGTGACGGTCACCACGGATGGCGAGACTTGCTGAAGGAAAAACAAGTGCACGGCAGGAGCCGTGTCACGATGTCACGTTTGTGTCGATCCACTGCTGGATGGGGACCTCCCGCCCACCCCCTCTTGGTCGCGAGGGGTCGTTTGACCGCACTTTACCACGCTGGTCAGTGCAGGTTGGCGAAGGTGGGGAGCTTACACGTGTCTTGCTGTGCTTGCCCTCTGCTGCTCACAATGCCGATGGCACCTGTTTTTTTTACGAACGCCGGGTGTCCATCCCCTGCTCCACCCAGGCTCAAAGATCTGATGAGACTGTGCGCACGCTGGGCTATTTGGTCAAAGGCCGCTACGTTTCAATTGTCAAATTTATTATGAATACCTTTGGGCCATTTTTTGGAGGAAGAGTTAAAAATCAATAAGCTTCGCCAATATGCCATGTGCTGCCCCAGGGCACCGCTGGTGGACTCCCACAATCCCCCCCAGAATGTCACTCGGTTTGAGGCCACTGCGCGGGCAGGGCTCTGGGCACTCACACTGGCAGTGCATTAAACCCAGCTGATGAAGCCGAATTAGCAGACGGCAGCAAACGCACTGCATGCTGCACGCCTCATTTACGCGGCACCACTTAAAATGCATCAACATAGCCCGCCTGTGATCGGCGTACGCCTTGTTTACACCAAATTTCTCCGCGCATCAATCGAAGGATAGGGGACAGAAGATAACGATGCACGCCTTTGTCCCTCACTCGTCTAACTATTCCCTGAACGTTGTTGTTGTTGTTCTTATTGTTCAATGAAAATACCAAGTGGGTGTGAGACAGTGCTCGGAGCCATTTGTACGTGTGTGTGTGTGATTGTACATGGGTATATATGTCAGGCGGCATACCCAAGTACGTGTATGTGACAATGAGCGGCAGCCGCACTGGTTAGCACACTGTGGTACGTACAGTCGAGGCAAACCTGGACTCAATCTTCATGCACCATGCACAACATTATTGGCACGTTACATCTGACCATGCGCTGAGCCTCTCTTAGGTTGCCTTGGTCTTAAATATGCAAGTAATGATGCATACATTAATTGTTTAAAATCGCTCCTTACATAATGTACTTATCTATCAAGGAAAGCCACACTGCGTCATAGAACTCTCTTTCGGTAAGCTCCTGCTGCATTGGGTTTTGATTTTAAGATGTGTTCAGCCAATTACTGATGAGTCTTTATTACACACGTGGGAGGAAACCGGAGCACAAGGAGAAAACCCACAAAGCATTAGGGGCAACATTCTATCCCTGTACAGATGAAAACAGATGGCAATTAGTCCATTCGCTGTACTGCCTTCTCCTGGCGAGTCGGGGTATGCACCTCGACACCCATGGGAAGGGAGTTTCACATCTTGTGCGATCCACCAATTATTGCTTCCACAGCGCTGGATTACATGCCACTTGCGTAGCCATCACCGCCCTTACATGTACTGTTCCAAACGTCAAATTGTGCGCATGATTATAAATTATTTATCATTTAAAACAAATGGCAATAGACTGAAAAGAACTTGACAATGAAGCCAGATAAAACAACTAAACAACAATACAAACGAGACAAAAATAAACGAAAATTTTTTTCTGATTCGGACAACCCATGGTATTGTTCGAGATGTGAATCGATGCATGCCCAGAGCCTGGTTTTCAGCATGTGCTGATACTCACCGATAGCCCGTGTTTACACGCGTGTGTGTGTGTGTGTTTGAGTTGCTGTCACAACACTGTGTGTAGAACTGGCCTTTCTGGGGCCAAATGAGCATTACATTACTCCACCCATTATCAGTTCAGTTATTCGACTAATAAAAAAAATTACGTTAATAGTTGGGGGAAGAAAAAGGGTCTCACCCCTGTTCCGATATGTGCCGCTGGACGGGAAGTGATGGGCGAGGCTTGGGTAATTTTTTTACCTTCAGGAGGTAGGAGGTTTCGTGGTGGGGTGGGGGGTGCTAATTTATAAGGGCCTAAGTAAACAACCACAAAAATGTAGTTGATTAATTGACTTACCGGACTAATCGTCCCAGCTCTAATTGTGTGTGTATCGCCGTGCTGTATTTTGTTTTATCAGTGGGTAGTGTAGCGGTTAGTGCGCTGCGTTACGAATCCGATGGCCCAAGTTCGATTCCCGCTCATGCCCAACACCAGTGACGATTATCTGAACCGGTCCTGGACCTCCCCTAGGTCGAATCAGCCTCAAATGAGTACCCAGTGTGTTGTTAACATCGCCACTGGGGAGACAAAGGCGGCCGGGCGTGGTGTTGGCTACCCACCCCTTAGTTTGCCATGCCGGCCTTCAAAGGTGCTCACAGCACTTGCCCCAACAGTCTGTTAAGGCTATACGGGGGATCTTTGTCTTTGATTTGTTTTTATCGCCGTACTGTTGCAGTACTATATTCCAAAAGCACACGAGCTTTTGTGGTATTGTATAAGAGAGTCAGCCCATATTGACAGCAACTTGAAGTGATTTACCTCATTGCAGAGGCTGGGAAGACGTGGAAATGAAAATCTATTCAAAATAATTTCAATACCCGGGTCCAATTTTCTTTTTTTACTTTGGGATCCAATATTGAACCGTGGATATCAAATACACATTAGAGCATTTCCAAGACGTTACGTGAAAATGTTGCGCATTTGACCAAACCATAGCTCAAACATGTGTACATTTCCAAAATTGTGCATATTTACAATTACACTAAATACGAATCTATTGTCAGCGAAAAAAAAATACCATCGTGAGAGACATTCTTAATTAATCAACACAATGCCTAGAATTTATAAAATGTTATTTAAAAAAAAATATGCAGATAACTGTAAATGTAGGAAAGCACGTATGTGCATTCTGCATTTCAGAGTAATGAAAATAATTACAAGCCGCCTCAGTGCATAATTGGTAATAATAAATAAATAATCCAGTAATGGGATTTGTTTAAGTACTGAAATGAAATTTAATTTGTCAACCTTCCAAATCGATGTTTCTCGGTCGTCTAATACAGTGAAAGGGAAACCTTGGGTTCGTTTTGACTTCTGTGAGTCTCGTCTGCTCTTGCCTATCGCATCAGGTCACCCAGTAGAATTGGTATAAAGAGGCTGATGGTACTGCTGATGAGACCCTCAAAGAAGCTGCAACCAGTTCAGCTGGTTAACGCCTATTAAGAGTTCAGGATTTGTCGAAGAGTCAAGTCAAAGCATATTTTTGACTTAAATAAGCAATAATCCTGACCGAGTGGTGTAAACTCCACATTTCAAATGTTAATGAATAGCCTATCCAAAAGAAAACCATTTTTGTTTGTTGTACTTACTCATTGTATGATTTTGATTATATCAATTGAAGAGAGAATATAGGACATGAGATACCCTATACTACGCAAATGTTTTATCGCTACTAGATTAATTACCACGTAAAAACTAAGCAAAAATTGCAAAAAAATTGGAATAAATACCGGTAAAATATTCTAGCAGTGATGTATGAATATAAGGTACAGTTGGAAGATTGAAAGCATAATTGAACTGTATGCGCTCGGCTAGACTCTTAATAGGCGATTCCCAGCTTCATGTATTAAACATGTTTTCAAATGAAAACATTAAAACCAGACTCTCATTAATTTACTGAACCCCCAATCGCTGCGGGTAATTTCTTTGAGGGTGCCCGAACTTCTTGTTGCGGTTTCCATTTCCCAACCGACCCACTTTTGAAGAATGAACGTTGCTCTCAGTGTGTGTGCCATGCTGCTGGTGATGTGTGCCAGCATCGTGTTGGCACACATTCATTTGTTTTGTCCCCCCCCCCCAAAAAAAAAACGTTCCCAAGGGTGGGCAATAAGGTGGCAAGTAACTTCTTTCTAAGCGATAAAGAAGCAGGCACAA